AAGTCTAATTTAATCCCACTTGGAAAATTTAGTATTTTCACCTCCGATCACTCATTGCCTGAATCTAGCCAGCTTAGAGCCTCAGCGCGTACAGGGTAATACCAAGGGGACTCCCCGTGGATTGAGGGGCGATGTGTGTGAGCCAGGACCGGGGGAGTAAGCAGGACTGTGACGAGGGCCAGGGTCAAAAAGAAAAGCCCACAGTTCCATAACTGAGACCAGGACTTCGTAACAGTTCACCAGAAGCCACGCGCTTGTTAATTATGGTCTGACACTAAGCGCCACGATCACTAGATGAAAATATTAGGTGGACAGAAGTTAGTGTGATGCGACTAGAAAGCAATAGGTAAATTGCTAGGTTTGTCCTGGTGTTTTAAACTTTACACCTCTCTCAGCCAGAAAAGTAGCTGATTTCTGCATATCAAAAGAGATTAGGCGATAGAGCAGAAAAGGCCCAGAAAAAAATGCAAGGACATTGTGTTAGTATATGAGGCTTCCCATTCGCCCCCAGTTTCTTGGGGGTTTTTTCTTGTTTTCCGCATTAGTTAATTAATTTTATTCCCTGGGTGCACACAGACTGGCAGTGGCAGGAGCCCCTCAGAAACATGCTGAGCGATGGGGAGAGCCAGCCCAGGGTTAGAACTTCACAGGTAACTGTTGGCGTGGGCAGTCTGCATGCCCACAAATTGTTACGTGTTTTTCTCTGTAGTTGATGGTTTGTGATTGTTCTATTTCTGAAACTTCTTCCCTGGGTTTTGTGTGGAGATAATGTTAATCAAGTGCTAATGCTTATGGGGGAAAAAATTCCATGCTGTGTTCTTGTTAATCAGTGAGAGCATTTCTTTCCCTTTCCTGAAGTGGTCTCAAGGTAAGGACGTCAGCAAGTGGCCCTGTGTGCCCTGTGGTGCTGGGACATGGCTGACCGTCCTCAGATCTCCTGCAGTGGGTCTGCTTTCGTGAGTCCCTGCTGGATGAGCCATGTGGGTGCCTCAGGTGGCTCCAGCTGAGGGCAGCTTTCCAGGGACTGGTCAGATCTGTCGTTGGCTTGGAGAGCACCAGCTTATAGACACGAAGTGGTGATGGTGCCCCCTCGAGCCTGCTGCACCCCGATATGCCCCTCTGGCGTTGTTCCGGCATTGCTTAGGGAAACACATCTAATGTATACTGGCTGCCCTCGGACTCTCTCAAGAGGAGATCAGATAAAATAGAAGCTCTGTGAGGCTCCTAAAGCATATTTTCTCTTTGTGAGAATTATCCTTTTAGGAGATGTGTGGAGTGAAAAGTAACAACTCAGTTACGAGTCTCATTGTTTCTGATTCAGCCATGGGAGACAGAGCTGGTGAATGCTGCTGCTCTGGCACTGACGTACAGCGGCGGTGAACAACGTAGGCGCGGTCTTGGCAGGCTTCTATGAGCCTAAGCCCAGCAGGACAGGCTACGCTTAGCAACGACTCGCGGTGTGATCAGTATCCAGGGGGTTTGGGCCCTGCATTCAACAGGGAGGCCTAAGCTGTCTTAGAAATTCAGAGAGCTTCCCTGAGACCGATAGAAGAGTTGGAGCTAACGAGGCAAAGGGGATCCTGGACAGAGCAGAGACCCTCAGTGGTGTAAACACTACTCATTCTAAGAACCAAGAGGTCTGCTGTGACAAGGAGAAGGGAGTGGCACAAGGTAAAACTGAAACCATGAAAGCCGTTTTAATGATACTCCCTGAATCCTGAGGGCAAGAGGAAACTGGTAAGGGTTGTAATGAGAGGGTGAAACTGACAAGATCAGATTTCTATTTAAAAAATCTCTATCACGTGGAAAACCGATTAAAAGGATAAAGTCATGAGTTTACCAGTTAGGTCGATACAGTTGTTGAGATGGAAAGTGACATGGGCTGCTTACGGTGGGGATGGAGGGAGGAAGGAATTAGGGAGAGCAATAGACTTGGCAGTGGACTTGCTTTGCCTGTGACCGTTGTTGAAGCTAGACAGTGAGTGCGTGGGGTGGATTTACCGTTCTTGGATTTTGAATATATTTGAGTTTTTCCCACAATAGTATGTCGCAAGAAAAGACAAGGAAAACAGAAAGAAAAGGCCTGGAGAAAGACATCCAGAGCAGGTGAGGGAGGCCAGTCAGGTCAGCTCTGCAGCCCCGGGACTTCCAAGGGCAGGTGGTTGGAGCTGAGTGGGGAAGTCTGGTCAGGTCTGGAGATGAATGTGACGTCATTGGCAGAATGATGACAACTGAAACCACCAGAGTTGGGTGAGATCTCTCCGGGGACCAGCCCTGAACGGGGTCGTGTTTCTTACGCAAAGAGCTCTTTGTGGACTACTGAATAAACCAATAGTCCTGCATTGAACCCATCACTACTCCAGTCATTTTTAAACAAACATCAGAAATCCATGAGTCATCATTTTCTTGAAAAAGCAGGCATTTGATCCAACCAATCTTTCCTCTCTCCTTGTTTGTGTTGCCCTCAGAAACACCTAAAGAGCATAATTTACCTCCTGATGGCTGATCACTCACCTCTTGAACGTCTTTTCTCTGTGTGGCACTGCTGGCTGCTCCTTCCATAAAATTCTCTCTACTATTCAGTGTGTGTGCCTGTCTCCATATGCCCGTCCAGGTTCCTAAGTGGCTTTTCTCTGGCTCTCAAATGCTAAATTCAGATTTCCACGGGCAAATGCTTCAGCACACTTTCCCCTAGCGGATTCCATTCAAATCCTGACTTCTCACCAGCCACACTCCTGGCTGGGTCTCCTGTAGTAAAAAGAACCCTTGAAATTGGAGTCTGAGGACATCTATGCCCTTGGGGAAGATTTGTCTTGTCAAGAAATCCTTCCTGGCATTTCATGAGACATTTATGTTTCTCCAAATCCTGACTTGGAGAAAAACTGGTCAAGAAAACGGGAAAGCATTATAATCTTCAGCTAGCATAATAGTCAACACAGATATTCCTGGGTCAGAAGAACCCATTGATGACAGTCCAGAGCAATGGCAGGGGTGCTGATGTGCATAGTCGAAGGTGAAGGTCATTGTCTTGGGCCCAGGACAAGAGCTTGTGGTAGAAAAGCAGTGCAACCTCATCAGTCAGTCAGTCTTCCTTGTAGGTGATGCCAGGTTAGTGTGTGTGTGTGTGTGTGTGTGTGTGTGTGTGTGTGTGTGTGTGTATCTCTGCTGCGAAGGGTGAGTCATTCTTGCAAATAAAATAAATATTTACATATGATATACATAATATACTTTATGTAAATCCTGTGAGTTCCTCTGAGTGGTGTTCCAAGAAAAATAGCAAGTTTTGGAAGCAAAAATAAGCTCTTCAGTTGGCGATTTTCACATGAAATTCTTAGTGATGTGTTGACCTTCACCTTGAATGTTATCTTTTTCCAATGCTACCCAATAATGTTTGCTGGCATTTTCCAGTGTTTGGATACTTGCTGTAGGCTAAAGTTTTTTGTAAGTACTTTAACAAAAACATACAAAGAGAAAAGTATGTGAATGCTGTGAAATAACTTGACATGAAGTCAGAAAGCGATCTGAACTGGAAAAGCACTACCAGTTTCAGTGCAAAACCGAAATCAAGTCAAGCAGACAATATTTTCATTATTAAAAAAAGAAATGAGTTTATATGAAGTACAGCGTACGCCCAGCTGGGAGGTGCTCTCATGAATAAGACCACAGGTGCAGAACGCAGGATATTGTATCTGATGGGCCAGTTAATACTGTGTGTGTTTTAATGGTAAATATATGTGATATTAGCTTTCAATATTTTAAGTGATTTTTATTTCACAATTATTAACAGAAAACCCCTGGAACTCTTCGTAATACCCTATCAGAGAAAAATGACTTGCTCTTAATGGTTACTCATTGTTTGAAAATAAGGAAATAAAGTGTTACAAAAATGCAGAATACTTAGGATTTGGGGAATTCTGCTTTCTCATTCCTGAATCCTGAAGATTACTATCTGTCAGCAATTAGGAAACGTTTGCAAACCACCTAAGCTCGCTGCCCCTCGGGCCTCCATTTGTGAGGTGACGCGATTTGTGTCCCGAGGGTGCGGGGAAGGCTTCCTACTGACACCCAGCAGCAGGGTGGCTGTCAGCACTGCAGCTGGCTTGTCATCCAGGCCTTTCCCTTTGCGGAACTGTGGAGGAGATGCTGAGCTCGGGAGTCAGGCTGCCTGGGTCCCAGCCTGGCCCTGCCGCCACTTAAACCTTTGGCCAGATGCTTCGCTGTGACTTGGTTTCTTCGTGTGTAAACTGGCGATACGCGCCGGCCTCACACTTTGGTTGTCATGGGCCTTGTTCGGGCTCAGCACCAGCCCCTCTGTCTTTATGGTCACTCAGGCCTGTCTCCTTGGCCCCCATCCTGCGGCCTTCCTTCTGCACGGCTGCCGGAGCCTCTCCTGTGTCGGACCTTGATGTTTGGTCCCCGTTACGATGTGTCTTTGTCCAGAGACCCTGTGCTGTGCCTGTCTCCCGGGGCAGGCCTGCCCCTCCTTGTGCCCGTTCTCTGTCCACACCAGTCTCCTGATTGGCCAGTGGGCTAGTCAGCCCCTCACGGCCACGTCTGACCCCGCCTCTCGCCCACGCTTCCTCGGACCTAAACCCTGCATTACTTTTGCATCACCTGCCCAACTAAGTTCCAGAAAACTAGCTGATGGGTTTCCCCAGCTGAAACAAGACTAGAATGTGAATTTTTAACAATTATTGGCTAAACAAAGCTATCCCTTTTAAAACTTCGTTTTCTATGATCCCTTCTATTTTCAAATAATTGGAAAAAAATCACTTTTTCAGATGAGCTTGAAATTTGTATTTAATTTTGGGTGTAGAAAATACGCATTATTATATCTGTAAACAAAACGTCCTGTGTGTTTAATGATGGAGCCAAAACTATTTCTTGATCTTACTCGACGTCTTTGAAGCAATATCGAAACCTTTTGGAATATATTCATAGGAGCACATTCATATGCAATTTCATCCCCAGTAACCAGCTTTTGTTTGTTTCCCCTAAAGGACCCCAAAATGTATGTACAGACAGTGTTGGATGTTCATAAAAAGTACAACGCCCTGGTCATGTCCGCGTTCAACAACGACGCTGGCTTCGTGGCTGCGCTGGACAAGGTGGGTGTGGGCGTGGCTTCCCGGGCAGGAGATCACGTGTCAACCCGCTGTCCTCTGATTGGGTGTTGTGTGATCCGCAGGCTTGTGGGCGCTTCATAAACAACAACGCAGTCACCAAAATGGCTCAGTCGTCCAGCAAGTCCCCTGAGTTGCTGGCTCGATACTGCGACTCCTTGTTGAAGAAGAGGTATTGATGACTGTTTTTTCTTAGTAAACCTACTTAAAATCCCAGCTTTCATTGAGAAATTAAAACTTATATTACGTTTTACATACATTAAATTGTAATTTTTGTACCCCTTGAGAAAATGCTTTAAAACGCATGCATCTTTGTCTTCCTAAAAGATACTTCGTACATGTCCAGGTCATTTTAATTTTTTTCATACATTACTAGCGTCTGTAAGCATGGCAGGCAGCGTGACCCGTTTAGTCAGCTAAATACAGTTCCCTTGGGTGGGGTGAGCTGCTTGTAAGAGGGTGGTGATGACCGCAGAAAGCAGCCATTTTTCCTCCTCGCTAGTTCTTTTCTCCTGCTCTAGCTGAAGTTTCTTCCAGTTGAAAATCTCAGTAGCTCCCACTGGCTGTTTTTTAAAACTGAAGACTGTCCATGTACTCAAGTACTTCAGTTATCCCATGTACTTTTAGCATTTATCTTTATTTAATGAGTTTGTTTTATAGCTGTTTGATATTCTTTATATTTTAACCATCTTATTTTTTCCTATCGGTGTATGTGTGTTCAGAGCTAGAGGCCACACAATCTCTGGGTTGTGTTTTCTGAAGGTCGCACAAATGTTTTTGTTTGTGTGTGTGTTATAGTTTTTGTCCTCGGCTTCTCTTCCACTTGAACAGCTTCTTCAGTGAAGGAATGCTCAGCTTATTTTGTTATTCCAGTTATCACATCAACAAATGTCGTGATAGTTTTTCACACCCCCAAACTGTACAGGTTTTTTTTTTATGTTAATAAATTGTATTTTAGACAGCTCCCAAGGCTCACATAACCCCTTTATGAAAAAGACAGAGAATACCTACATGTACCAAGAAAAGACTGCAAACAAGTCTCACTTACAGTGAAGTTGTGGAAATCTTAAGTAAAATGTTAGCAAACTAAATTTGTCAGTGAATGGGAGAATACTTCCCTGAGACATATAGCTTTCTTGGAATGTAAGGATGGCTCAGTAGTAGCAAATCTAATGTAATTTACTGTGTTAACAGCTCTGGACAGCTGCGTGGCCTCCTGACAGGCATGGGGAAACGTTTGATACGGTCGATGTCCTTCTCTAACTTTATCAGAAAGCCATTTGCCCAAGGCCAGTGAGGATGGAGTATTTGGGCTTTTTTTATAATTTTTGCAGTGCTGGTCTAATGTATAACTTAGCAACTCTGGTCAGATCCTCTAACGTATTCGTTTCAGGAATGAAAATGGACTTGAAGTTGAAATGCCTCTCCTGACCTGATTTCATTTTTTAGGCTATGTGACATAAAAATCTTTAATGTTTTAAATAGGGTGGTACCGTAGTGGGGACCTCCGTATTTTGTTTGGCACAACAGTGTCCTTTTTGCCTGTTGTCTGTTCATGAATGGCCGTCATCAGGCCTCTTGGTTTCTAAATTAAGGCACAAAAGCAGACAGAAGGGCAGACAGTCCCAGTGCCTGGCTTTGATGAGCTTAGCTTGTGTTGGGGAAGGTGGTGAATGGAGTCACGTAGGTGCCGAACTGAACGGCTGCGGGAAGACGCAGCCCTGGCCTGTGGGAGCAGGATAGCGCTTCTGAACCAGCCGCTCTTCAGCAGAAGCAGCTCGTCGGCACCTCTTGTTTGGGGGCTGGGACCAATTTTATATGCATTTATGGGGGTCTTTTGTTTGTGAAGGACTCTTGCAGTAAAACCTTTAAAATTTCATTGACCCCGAAATCTTTCCTTTCAGTTAATTTTTGTTCATAGACTAGAATGAATGAATCAGTTCATTCTGGACACATCAGTTAAAGGACAAATCATTAAATGAGAGCCATCTGATTGGTAGACGTAACTACAAACGGAAGGCAACACTTTAATAGTAGTTTAAACCTTTTCATTATCTCTAATTATTAGGCCATTATAAGGAAACTATATGCCTTTTTATTTTTTCAAAGTGAAAGCATATTGTAGAAAACAATTAGAAAAGAAGTTCATTTGCTGATGTGTAAATGGATTATATTTAAATGGATTCTGTTAAAGGAAAACGATTCAGGATGTTCGTGAACTTTTTAATAAACATCTGTTGATTTTCATCTTGGGTATTCTAAATGATTGTTTCATAACCTGTTCTCCCATGAGAGCATCACAGTATAAGACTGCCAGGTTGCCATAGGTGAGAAATGCTAGACTTCCTCTTCAGGGCCCAGTCGGAAGAGGACCGTGTTCAAACCCACGTTCTGGTGTGATAGTTGGCTGAGGGGTGCTTGCTGACAAAACATGTGCTGATTTGTTTTAAAACACAGCCTTTTTTTAAAATTTCAGTTCCAAGAACCCTGAAGAAGCAGAACTAGAAGATACGCTCAATCAAGTGGTAAGGTGCTTAATAATGATACCGTTTTCAGCAGCCATTTATCTGACACATTGTTGTGTAGGTTATTTATAGAGGGCATCTGAAATGGGAAAAGTAATGGAATCATTTATTTTATTTTGAATCTATGGCTTTATTCCTTAAATTGAGTCATTAATTTTAGCATTTGTCCTTTCCTCATTAGTACTGTCCTAACCAAACTAATGATATTAAAGGGGGGGGGGGTGAAAATATTTAAAGACTGTGGGGCAGTATTTTTTGCCATCATAAGCGATGGCATACAGGCCAGATAAAACCGCACGCATGCTGGTTTCCGGTGTGTGTGGGGTGACGTCGGGTTGTAAGCTCATCAAGTGTGTTCTCATGGTGGCTTTGCCAGATGGTGGTCTTCAAGTACATAGAGGACAAAGACGTGTTCCAGAAGTTCTATGCGAAGATGCTGGCCAAGAGGCTGGTCCATCAGAACAGCGCAAGTGATGACGCCGAGGCAAGCATGATCTCTAAATTAAAGGTGAACCCAATCTTTTTCTTAAAAAGGCCAGTTTTTGAGTCAGTGTTTCCCCAGAAAAGTTCTTCGTTTCCCCAGAAATGTTGTTAGGTGGGCAAAGTCGTTCATGAGTAGAGCAAGGAGGCTCTGCTGCTCACTGCTGGAAAGCTAGCAGAGTCATTGTGACAATGACAAGTGCAGGCCTGCCTTCTGGCACCTCACGTGCTCCCCCGTCCCTTCCCACCACTCTTGGGGACCCTGCTGTGACAGCCTGGTCTGTTCACCATCCTAGCATCCTCTCCTGGCTTTCTCACACCCTGGCTTCACACCTGTGTCGCCCATCAGAATGGCAGAGCGGCACGGCCTGTAATCCCATTTTGCTGGCTTTGGGGGCATCGGGTGTTTTGTTTTGCTCCAGGTGTAGTTTACCATCTGTAGCCTTGTACCTACAGGAGGGCAGACAGCTTCTTGCTTTGCTGTGGAGCAGCCCTTTCTGTATCTGGCCGCCTCTGCGCTCTGCCTGCATTGGCGTCGGTGCTCGATGGCCTGTCGGGCCTGTTACTGCCTAAGGGCATATTTCACTTGGACCTGAACTTACAGTTATGTGGGTGTCATATTTAGCTCGGGCCGCCGTAAAAAAATACCACAGGCTGGGTGACTGAAACAAAAACAAAAGGAGCTGATTTCTCAAAGTTCAAAGGTGGGAGATTTAAGGTCAAGGTGCCAGCTGATGTAGCTTCTGGCAAGGGCTCTCTTGCTGGATTGCTGATGGCTACTGCACCGTGTCCTCACATGGCGGAAAGAGAGAGTAAACTGTCTGGTCTCTTCTGGTCGTGGCACTATGGCGCTGGTTCCATCATGGAGGCCCAGCCCTGGGACCGCATCTGAACTTAATTACCTCACTGTGGCCCAACCTCCAGTCATCACATTAGGGGTTAGGGTCTCAACATTGGGATTTGGGGGACACAGTCCAATCCATAGCAGTGGATAAGAACACAGACAAATTATGTTATTGTATTCTACCAGTATCACAAATCCTTGCTCTTAGACGCTCAAGTGATAGATACTGTGCATCTGAAGACGTAACTGTTCAGTTTCTAGCTCTATTATTTCTGATAGTGTATTAATTGTCATCAGTGCATATTTGTACTGAGATGCAGTTAAACAGTACTAGCTGTAGGAGCAGTTTAACAACAGTTAAGCGTGTCGTGTGCTGTGATCTCTATGAGATCCCCTGTGTGCATTTATATCTCTGTAGGCATTAATAGGGCCACTGTCTGGGTTTTTTTCAGCAAGCCTGTGGCTTTGAGTATACCTCGAAGCTTCAGCGGATGTTTCAAGACATCGGTGTGAGCAAAGATTTGAACGAGCAGTTCAAAAAGCACCTGACGAATTCGGAACCCCTAGACTGTGAGTATCCACGTGTCTATAGTCCCCTGTTAGGCAGTGTTCTGAGAGAAGGCCACGCCCTTTGTAGCAAATGGGAGAAATGACGGAATATTAAGTAAGGGTGCTGCATCCTGTATCAGAAATACACGGGAAGTTCCTCCCAGACGCTCTGGACTCTTCACGACTCCTGTATGATGTGAGGAGATGACAGCCATGGAAGCATGTCTGCTTTTCCCAGGGGACCTGGTGCTGAGCAGGACTGGTTGGGAGTTTAGAGGGCTGAGCTGGTGGCTTGCGTCTAGGTCTTGAACCCCAATTCTCTTTTGCTTGCCAGGCACCTGCCAGCTCAGAATTCCACACAGTTTAATTTTTTAATTGTTTTTTAACCTTAGTTTGGATCCATCCTAGAATTTGTTTTAATTATAAGAAACTGACTTGGGGCCGGCCGAGTGGCGCGATGGTTAAGAACTCGCTTGGGATGCCAGAGGGCCCCGGTTCGGATCCCACATATGAGGGCCAGTGACACTGCCCTCTACAGCTAAGATGCTGAACAACAGCTCAACCCGGAGCTGGGCTGCCATGAGTCGCTGGCGACGGCGTAGGCTGCAGTCCCTGTGGCAGTGGGTTGCCATGGGCTACTGTATGTAGCCAGCAGCCAGCGTGAGCGGCCAGCAGCCAGCGTGAGCGGCCAGCAGCCGCAGTGAGCGGCCGTCCAGAAGCCGGCGACTGATCTGCCTCGCCCAGGAAGAGCGCAATGATGGTGCCAACTTGGGCCAGTGAAGCAACGTCCTCCACAACTAGATTGAAGAACAAAAACGACAGCAACTTGTCTGTTCCCCTTCCCCCAATTCCCCAGCACTGTTCCCATCCCCCCAATTCCCCAATAAAAATCTTTAAAAAAAAAAAAAAGAAAAAAAAAAAAAGAAACTGACTTGGCCACATAGAGAACAGAGTCAAACTATAGAGACCACGTGGCTTCAGATTGGAGTTGGCGATTGGTGCAGGCTGGGGCCGGGGACGCAGCCGCAGGAGAGCCAGCTGGGCTCCTGGTGTAAGTAAGGGCTGCTGCGGCCGCGGGACGGCAGATGCTGCCGGCGTCACTACAGAGGAACGTCTTTCTAAAAGAAAACGGGATTTTATTTTCCCGAAGCAAAAGAACTGACACTTGTGCCCGTGGACTTGTGGTCAGCTATTGGTGTTGTTGAAATTATTATTATAATTTATAGATTATTTATATAATGTGTAGTGTATACATGCTACACCAAATATAATGGAGTTAGGTGTTTACTGTTGGGGTTTTCGTTTTTTGAGTTTGGGGCTCTAATGCCATCTGTGCCTGGCGACCAGGTGTGCCTTGAGTGGTTGGCGTTATTCGCGGCAGGAAACCAAAGCACATGAAGCAAAGCAGGCATACAGCGTTGTAATTCTGAGGCAGAAGTGAGATGAAAAACTCAGTCTTTGGAGGAAAAGAATTTCTGCTGCTCCCACTGTTTACTAATTTTAATTGAATAAAATAATTGAAATGAAATCCTTAGTTTTATATTGAATGTGTTTTTATAAGGAGCAGCCCACGTGTATCTGAAACGGTGGCAGTTTTCAGTTTGTTAGGCTAACAGTGTGTTCCTGAATTTCCCTTCCCCTCTCCTGCAGTGGACTTCAGCATTCAAGTTCTGAGTTCCGGATCGTGGCCCTTCCAGCAGTCTTGCACGTTTGCCTTGCCATCGGAGGTAAGCAGGGTTTGCCTTCTGTTCCATTTGTGCTGAGTAGAGATAATGGGTCGCTTTCAGCACCAGTACACATGGTGCCTGCAGAAGCTCCTGCTGGCCGGCTGGTACCCCGAAATGGGGCAGGGCCAGGGCAGAGCCCTGTGCAGGGGGTAGCTGGGCTCCCTGCCGGCTGGCTGCCTCTGTCCCCTCAGCAGTGTGGTCCTTTATTTACCTTTAGACAGTAGAACCTAATTAGCGCTGGGGTGAACACCACGATACCTACCCGTCTTAAAGTAGAAACCTTTTTGATTGTGTCTTAAAAAGCTTGGTTCCATGTGCTCTGCAAGAGTCATTTGTATTTTACTTTTATGTAAGCACTGCTTTGGTACTGTAAACTTGGAACAGTGTGTTTTCTGCAGAAATACTGACTATAACCTATGATAAGATACTTAGTGTATATAATGCTCTGCTTTTGTCCAGTTGGAACGTAGCTATCAGCGATTCACAGCTTTTTACGCCAGCCGTCACAGTGGCAGGAAATTGACATGGTTGTATCAGCTGTCTAAAGGAGAACTGGTGACAAACTGCTTCAAAAACAGATACACTTTGCAGGTAAGATCACCTTTTTATTTTGGGGTACTTTTTAAAATTCTAAATGAAGAGAAGACTAATTGTAGAAATCAGAATTCAGTGATTCATGTGACTCAATCTAGAGTTAAGCTTCCAGGAAAATAGCATAGAGGTTAATAAACAGCATGGGTTTTAGAGTCAGATTAGCAGAATTCGCCTTCTTTCTGGCTAAGGGACAGGCTACTGAATGATGACACCGAGCCTCAGTTTTCTCTTCCATAAAATGGTGCTACTGCTTGTAAGTGTTGGGCACATTAAGTGGTCCGGTGGTCGCTTAAAACGCTGGAGTTTTATGTATTTATTTATGATAGTTGTTTTCCTTTGATAAAGCAGTTTTACATTAGTCATACCCTGCAGTGTTTACAGCAACACTGGGTACCAAATAATAATAATGACTTTCAGTTCAGGAGCTTTCCAAAGTGCTTTGTTTATCCTCCGAGAAGGTTTCCCTTATAATAACAATCCTAAGTCAACTTTTAAGTATTAAGAAACTGCAGACTGCATTCTGCAGACTCACATCCTGCTCATGAATTCAGTAATTCCACTTGGATAAAGCAGTTAAAGCGCGTACTATTCTGTCACACCAGGTCCAGAGGTCTTTATTGATTTGCATGTAGCTTGTGCCATTGATTTTGATCCTTCATCCCCAGATACACAGAGAACAACTTGTGAGTTCGTCCTCTAGCCCTAAAATCTCAGTGCCCTTTTTTGACCAGGCGGACGCTCAGCCAGGAGTGTGTTCGCCGTGTTGAGGCAGCTCAGGGCAGGCCCATACACGACAGTCCCCTGCGCATGCCCTGCCCTTGAACTTTTATTTAACGCACAAAGAAGTCCTTTTCGGTGGAGTTGTTCTTTGGTTTTTTGGTTTTTTTATTCTTTAAATAATTTTTATATCAACTTTGTTGAGGTAATTTACAGACAATAAAAAGCACCCCTTTTAAGTATATAGTTGGAGTTGTGGCAGATTGTATACACCAGTGGGACCACCACCAACTGCAACATTTCTTTGAGATTTGTTTTGATTTGGTCACTGCCATTGGGGCAGCCTCTCGAAGCCTGTTAGGGTCCTGTCCCCTCTTGCTGGCCATTTTCCTGGCTGGCACCCCTGAGGCTCCAGGAACACCGCTGTCCTGAGGTGCTAACGTTGCCCAGGTGTCTGCCTGTCCTCATTGACGAGGCTTTGCCGCTCATGGTTCTGTATCTCTTGCTGTGGATCATGGAGGAGAAGGGTGAGGGGACCCCCTGGGAATGTGGGGGAGGAGCCTCCGGGCCCTCCTTGCACACAGCCCAGGACTCAGAAGCCACGTGTGCGTCCTGGTGCTGGGTTCCCCGAGGGATACGTCTGAGCAGCTGGGGTTTGCTTTACCCTTTCTCATACTTTACACAGTAGAGTAGTTAGGATAAACAAATCAAATATAATTCAATTTGCGGGTGGTTTTATGTCAGCAGTGTACCAAAAGATCATTTTTCTCAGCATTTATGCAAAAACAAATTTGAAGATTGATGCTTAACGTTTCTGTATACACTGGGTGGATGTGTTTATCAGTATAATGAGTGTGGATACATATTTGCGTATTCATATGGACAGACATCTTAGAAGAAAATTCAAAATCATTTTAATGTTTGAAAAGGTGGGAAATGACATCTTTCAGGAAAGTATTGTGTTGGAGTGGAATTGACACTTTGTATTCCTTTTTAAATTGACCTTTATTTTTTGCATCTGTTCGGAGGGTTCGTTTTATAAATAACTTCCTTAAAGTTAGGCTATGTAGTTTGGAGTTTTTTCCATGTGCTTAAATTTTGCTTCTGCTTCTTTACACGGGGACCTCAAAGGCCTCCACGTTCCAGATGGCGATTCTGCTTCAGTACAACACAGAAGATGCCTATGCCGTGCAGCAGCTGACGGATAGCACGCAGATTAAAATGGTACGTCCCTGTCTCCTCAGTCTATAGATTGTAGGGAAGGGACAGGGAGAGGAGCTGAGGGCTTCAATTTGAAATGGATTTGCCTTATAGATAAGAATATGCTCTTATTCCAGGATTTTAATATGTGTTTTTTGTTTGTTTGGTTTTTTTGTTTTTGTTTGGTTTTTTTAAAGATTTTATTGGGGAATCGGGGAACAGCGTTGGGGAATTGGGGAAAGGGAACAGACAAGTTGCTGTCCTTTTGTTCTTCAGTCTAGTTGTGGAGGACGTTGCTTCACTGGCCCAAGTTGGCACCATCATTGCGCTCTTCCCGGGCGAGGCAGATCAGTCGCTGGCTTCTGGACGGCCGCTCATTCTGACTGCTGGCTACACACGGTAGCCCATGGCAACCCACTGCAGCAGGGGCTGCAGCCTACGCCGTCGCCGGCGACTCACAGCAGCCCAGCTCCAGGTTGAGCTGTTGTTCAGCATCTTAGTTGTAGAGGGCAGCGTCACTAGCCCCCATGTGGGATCCAAACCGGGACCCTGCTGTTCAGAGCTGGCATCCCAAGCCAACTCCTAATCAACGCGCCACTCGGCCGGCCCATACGTGTTTTTAAAAAGCTTAATTTTTAAACTCAGTGTTACACACACCTACGTGCACACACACAGAGGTACACTGACGTGCCTTTCTCTCATTCATTTAGTCCGTTCTGAACGCTCTTTCCAGTAAGCTTTTCTTACTAAGCTTAAAATCTTCACTTAATTTCAGTGTTATTCTTCGTATTAGTCATTTTATTGAGATGCATTTCACAGAACATAAAACTACGTACAGTTTAGAAGTTTTTCCAAGGTGTACAAGCACCGGCACTGCCGGAAGCATTTTCCTCAACCCCAAAAAGAAACCCAATACCCGCAGCAGTAACTGTCCCCTACCCAGCCTCTCCCCAGCCCCTGACAAACATTAATCTACTTTCTGGCTCTAGACATTGATACAAATTGAATCGTGTAATATGTGACTTTTTGTGTCTGCCGTCTTCCACTCAGCATCTCGTTTTCAAGGTTGACCCATGTGGTAGCGCGTGTCTGTGTTTCGTCCGTATTTCATCCTCTCTTTTGGCTGAAGTGTATCTCAGTGTATTGATGGACAGACACATTGTGTATTCATTTATTTGTCGATAGACATTTGGGAGGTTTCCACCTTATGGCAATTGTGAATAATACTCATGTGACCATTAATGTGCAAGTTTTTGTATGAACATGTTTTCAGTTCTCTTGGGAATTATACATAACTGGATGGGAGTTGCCAAGTTATGAGAACTTGTATTTAATTTTTCGAGGATCTGCCAGAGTTCCACCATGGCTGCACCTGTCATGTTCTCACCAGCAGCGCACGAGGGCCACACTTTCTTCAGTCCTCACCAACGTTTGTTCTTACCCATTTTTTTATTCTAGCCGTCCTCGTGGTTATGATTGTATTTCATTGTGGTTTTGATTTCCATTTTCTTAACTAATGATGTTGAGTATCTTTTCATGGCCATTTGTATATCTTCTTTGGAGAAATGTCTGTTCAGATCTTTTGCCTATTTTTTAATTGGGTTATTTATCTTTTTATTGTTGAGTTGTAAGAATTGTTTATATATCCCATATAGTAGACCCTTGTCAGATAAAAGATTTATAAATATTTGCTCCTGTTCTGTGGGTTGCCTTTTTGTTTTCTGTATCACACAGTTTTAATTTTGATGAAGTCCACTTTATTTTTTCTTTTGTTGGCTTTTGCTTTTGGTGTCTTATTTAAGGAACCATTGCCTAATCCAATGTCAAATACTGTTCTTTCCCTATTGATTGGTCCAGGCAACTTTGTCAAAAATCAATTGGCCATAAATGTAGGGTTTGTTTCTGGGTTCTCAATTCTTTTCCACTGACCCAAGTGTCTCCTTGTGCTGGTCCCACATTGTCATGCTCACTGTTGTTTGGTAGTAAGTTTTGAGACTGTATCGTTCTTTTTCAAGATTGTGTTGGCGTTCCCTGGTCCCTTGCATTTCCATGTAAATTTCAGAATTAGCTTGTCCATTTCCACAAACAAGGCAGCTGGAATTATGAAGGGGACCATTGAATCTGTGGGTTGCTTTGGGGAGTATACCGTTCTTAACAATATTAAATCTTCTAATCCATGCCCACAGATTCGTTTCCCTTTGTTTAGCTTGTCTTTAATTTTAACTGTGTTTCACAGGAGTCAGTGTACTAACTAACGTTACACTTTGGTTAATCTATTCTGAAGTCTTTTATTACATTTGATGCTATTGTTGATGGAATTGTTTGGTCATTGTTAGTGTACAGAAATACAGTTCATTTTTGCATATTGATCTAGTTCTAATACTTTTTTTGCTTAGGGCTTTTTTTAAAAAAATGCAATCATGTCATCTGCAAATACAGATAGTTTTACTTCTTCCTTTTCATATTTGGATGTCTTTTTTCCCTCTTGCGAATTGCTCTGTGTAGAAATTCTGGTACAGTGTTGAATAAAAACAGCACCCTTGTCTTCCTGCTCTGGGGGACAGCTTCATAAGTTTGCAGTTAGGGACGATGCGAGCTGTGGAGTTGTTCTTAGATGCCCTTCATTAGATTTTAGAAGTTCCCCATTAATCCTACTTTTTTTTACTGGTTTTATCATGAGACAGTGTTGGATTTTGTTAAAATGCCTTTGCAGCTCTGTTGAGATAATTATGTGCTTTTTGTCTGGTAACACGGCGTATGACATTGAGTTGGTTTCTTATGTTAAACCACGCTTGCATTCTTGAAATAACCCCACTTGGTCATGGCATATAATGCCTTTGATATGCTGCTGGGTTTGGTTTGCTGGAATTTTCTTGAGGATTTTTGGCATCTGTATTCATAACGGATATTGGTCTGTTGTTTTCTTGTGATATTTCTGTCTGGCTTTGGTGTCAGGGTAATGCGCCCTCATAGAATGTGAGTTATACTTCAAGTGACTCCAAAATATATCTTCAAATTCTATAGCAAAGTGAATTTGCTCCCTTGTACCTCCGAGTCCTTTCTCATTTCTCCCTACTCACCTCAGGAGGAGGCTGAAATGAGGGGGAGGCCGGGGAGGGCTCTGCAGCCTGGAGCCTGCTTTCCGGAGAGCACTGCTGCTCAAGCCCCGCGGAGATCCCGGCGTGGAGGCTGCTCTCTGCTTGGCTTTCTAATCAGAACTACGCCATCTGTGCGCTAGCGTTTAGTAGCAGAACTAACCCCCACGAGAGGACGGGGCCGCTGTCTCCTCCTCCCCACGATGGACACAGTTGCCTGGTCGGCTTTGGCGCCTGGACCGCAGCCGGCAGTGTTCTGGTGCCGCTTTGGGCCCCGGGAAGGCTGCTAGGCTAGCGGCCTGTCGCTCTCCCAGCCTTGACCCTGTGCCCTCTGACCATACGGGTGCCCATGAAGACGAGGGCCCTTTCTGTCCCTGGTCAGAGGCACTAGGTGGGTGGGCATCCGGGTGACTGCAGGTTGGGCTGGGTGCGCGCCCGTGTCTTGGGGCACGAAGCCGTGAAGCTGAAGGAGCAGAGATATGCTGGGACCACACGACCAGCCTCGAGTTCACGCAGGCAGGCAGGCAGGCAGGCCACCACCGGCCCCGCCGTGTTGGTGACAGAGCATCCCTTGCTCCCTGTCCTGCTGACGCTCCCTTTGCGGCGATGCGAGTCCGGGAGCAGCTGTCGGGCATTTAGGAAGCGAGCCGGTGTCCGTGTGCCTCAGCCAGTTGTGCCTGCTTCCTAATGTGGAACAGAGTTGTCGGTGTTCCTGTTAGGTGATCAGGCCCAAAAGGGCTTGATGTCACTTTTAGAAGTAGGTGCTGGGGCAGCAGGGAACTTAGGGGACTTGTAACAGTATCACCTCCTTCTCCTGAGTCTAGTCTCGTCTGTGGGTGACTATTGTAGGGCTGCTTGTGGCTTTCGTTACAAAGAAAAATGCATTTTGTCTTTAAGTTAATTTTTCTCTCCAATTGCAGGACATTTTGGCACAAGTTCTACAGATTTTATTGAAGTCGAAGTTATTGGTATGTTTGTGCACTTTTTATGTTAAGTTAGAAGAACGCCTATTTCTGAGATTATGTAGTAACAGTTGTTTTCTTATAGGTCTTGGAAGACGAAAATGCAAATGTTGATGAGGTGGAATTGAAGCCAGATACCTTAATAAAATTATATCTTGGTTATAAAAAGTAAGGAAAATCTAAGCGGATGGTCCTAGGCTGTAGACTTGTCCTCTGGCCGCTGACCACATCTGTCACTGCAGACGGAGGTGGCGAGCTCCGGGAGGGCTGGGCGGCGGGGTGATGGAGCCCTCTGAGTCCATCTCCCTGTTCCAGGCGTTACTCTATAAACCGTTTCAGCTTTTGGTTTTTTTATTCATTTGGCAAACACGTCTCCTTAAATGGGTCACAAGAAAGTTCGGATTTCTGTGTCCAAGTGTTTGGATTTTATTTCGCTTGACACAGTTGGCAGAGCAGATGAAGGGGGGCCTGAGACACAGACCCTGCGGGGGGGAGCCCCTCGCATTGGGCCCGAGGGCGGGAGCTGCCGCGGGGCGGCCGGGGACAGTCACCACCCTCTCACAGAGTGAAAACAGAAAGAAACCTTTACTACCTGCCTTTAAAACAATAGTCATTGGTTTTCTCAATTTTCTTGACAGTAAGAAATTAAGGGTTAACATCAATGTGCCGATGAAAACTGAGCAGAAGCAGGAACAGGAAACCACACATAAAAATATTGAGGAAGACCGCAAACTACTGATTCAGGTGACTCGGGGGCCACGGCGTGTAGTGTGTGCTCCCTCACACGGCCGGCAGGCGGGTGGCCCGAGGTGGCCATTCCTCTACTGTGTGGCGCCTCGGGAGGCTGGAGGGCTCTGGGCGGAGTCGGTGAGATAGATGAAAGCAGCTAATGGCGGGGAGGGGGCTGCTGGTCAGTGGGGGCGAGGCAGCGTCCGCAGCTGTGAAGACTGGGTTTTTCTCATTTTTTAAATGCTTCATATATAGTTGGGTTAAGTTACTAAACTTGCTCATAAGACCAGGACGTCTTAGTGTTTATGTTATGTCAGAGCTGAGGCACAGGTGGCAGAATTGGCCCCCTGCGACAATATCAGAATCCTGTGCCGAAATAGAGAACCTTTTTGCTCGGTGTCCTCAGTGTTGAAGAATAAGTTGCGGCAAGCCTCTGAACGCACTCATTTCCCTCCCTGGTCCCGTAGGCGGCCATTGTGAGAATTATGAAGATGAGGAAGGTTTTGAAACACCAGCAGCTCCTTGGAGAAGTTCTCACGCAGCTGTCCTCACGGTTCAAGCCTCGGGTCCCAGTAATTAAGGTACAAGAATGACATAGCAGAAGCGTTCAGTTCATCATTTTACAACAGAAAAGATGGAATGAAAAGTGGTTGGTTACTGTTCCGTAAGGAAGGAGGTTGGCTTGGGCATAAGTAATAGATTCCTCCAAAAGAAAATCGGCTTAATTTTTAAACTTGTATTGAAATGTAGACAGAGAAGCGCACGAACCTAAGTGTCCCGCCCTCCGACTTTCTCAGAGGCCCGTCCTTGTACGGTGACCCCAGCTCCAGGGTGTGGTGACCGGCCCTGCAGTCCACGAGGCTCCCATGGGGTCCCCGGTCACACTGCGCAGCAGCAGCCGCTGGCCTGCCTGTGAATTCTCATGAAACCGGGCTCACCCGCTTCTGCATCTGCGGGGATGTGCTCAGCGTCACATTAGGGAGATGCGTTTCCTGTCACCTGTCACTGTGCGCTTGTCCTTACTGCTGTGGGGGACACTCCTGTCTGAGCAGACCACAGCTACTGGTGACCGCCACTTAACAACTGGGGTGGTTTAAAGTGGGAGCTAAGCGGCTCTGCCCCTTTCTGAACCCCCGACAGCCGGGGGCCCACTTAGCTCCTGGGGTCGCGCGTTCAGAGTCCCCACGACTAGTTGTTGGCCTGCTGGGGACGTCCTGGGGTAAGGCTGAGAGTGGTGAGGGAGGTTCTGCCCCCGTGGCTTCTGCCGCACCTGACCCAGTTCGGGGGTGCTGGCTCTGAGGGGCTCCATGCGGGACGGCAAAGCCCTAGCAGCCCGGGAAGTAAAACTACACACTGATGGGATATACAGCGTGACCTTGCTCTCCATGGAGCTGTCATGTCGGGGAGAACCCAGGGGATGGCGGTCTGTCTCTGCTCTGATAATAAATGTTTTTCTTCCCTTTCACTACCTCTTCCTTTTTAAAAAATAATGCCCAGAAATGCATTGACATTCTGATCGAGAAAGAATATTTGGAACGAGTTGATGGTGAAAAGGACACCTACAGTTACTTGGCTTAACCCTTCTAGAAGGGTCTGACTGCGACCCGCAGCAAACTAGTTCCTGGTGGAAAGGATGAAAACTCGAGTTCATAGCAGCCAGCCTGCCGCCATTTGGACCTCCCTGTTTAAAACTGAGACCAAGAGTCCCACCACCGGTCTCAGGTGGAAATCAGAACTGCTCAGGATGACACATGTCAAGTCTGTAAATATGGACACCGCCGCCATTTAACCTAATTTAAGGACAGAGGGGACGCGACCCTTCCATGCTGAGGGCTGCATGCTACTGCATTTAGACCCACACAAGGCCACGGGATGGATGAACAGCGGCCGCCCAGGTAGCACCGACCATGTCGGCAGCACTTGGAGAGCGAGTCTGAGTGGACCCATGTGTAATCTGCTATGAAAACCCATTTGTATAGTGTGTTTCATTTTTTAATGTGTGAAAATAAAGAAACTTAAAGGATTTATGTACAAGTTGCATTGGGTTTTGTTTTCAGTTTCACTGATTTCTATATGTAAATAAAAGATACACTGATTGTGCAGATTGATAATAGCCCAGTGTCTTCCTGTAGGCGCAGAGGCTGCATTCTTCAGATTGACAGCTTTTTCAAGACCTTAAAATGTTAAGCCCCCTGTAATCCTTTTTTCCCCCAAACTTGCATGCTCACTTCCATGACTACCTTCAGCGACTTGGATGCCACCCAGGAGATTCAGTGACACGCTGATGCCGTCTGCCACTCGGACGCACTGAAGGGATAAATCCTCCGACAGCCTGACCCGGGAAGCGGCGCCCCCTTCCCACAGGTGGGAACTGAGGACCGAGGAGGGAACTTGTCACCGGTAGGTAGAGGACTGGCATGCAGACGAGCGTGGGCAGCCGGCTCGGGGACGCTCCCTACCTCTGCCGCCACGTCGAGGCCACAGAGCGCGTGTTGAGCCTGGAGGTGTGCAGGGGCCGCGTCACTCCTGCGATCTGGCTGTGTCCGGTGTTACAGCGCAAGAAGCAACAGTGTGGGACGAACTCGTCAGCTCTCCCTGGCAGATGAGCAGCCCGACGCTTTCCTCCTCAGGCCCTGACAGGTGAGTGGAGTGGCCTCGGCTGCCTGTCCCCGTGGCGGAGACCCACGTGCTCCCCCGCGCCCAGCTTCGGGGTCCCGGGTCCAGCCTGCATGTCCCCTAACACCCTTGTTCTTTGTTCGCAGTCGCTTCCTGGCCAAAGGTGGGGGCGAGACTCTCCGGGCAGGCCCGGCCCTCGTGGTGTTTTCTGCACAAACCTCAGCGCGTCAGCGATGTGAGCACTTGAACAAACTAGACCTGTCCTGCATCCGTTACAAAGGGGAGACGGCGTCGCCGGAGGAGGAAGCAGCAGGTACGTTCCTACGGTTTCTTGGAGCAGTCGAGCACTTAACAGGTGCCTTTTTGCAGTTAAAGGTTGAATAGATCATAAAAAGCAATGGTAATAATGGTTTCCACACTAACAATTTTATAAAAACGAATCCCAGTATATAAAGCAGGCAAAAGGCCTGAGTGCTGCCTACGGGACCCCAAAGGCCCCGGGTGCCCCATGAACGGCCTCCCCCACTCCCGGGAGGGGGGTCCCTGCCTGCTGTCCTCCCAGCACTCCCTTTGTCTGCCTCGGGGACAAGGACCCAGGGAGCCACTTTGAGAACCTGGGGGAAATCTGTTAATGAGCTCTTGCTGGTGCCTCAGTTCCTCCAGGAGTGGGGGTGCCCTGGGGTGAGTCCCAGGACATTCGGAACAGGGATGTCACCCCACACCCTGGGGTTCGGGACACGTACTGCGGACGCATGTGCGGGGAAGAGCACCTTCCTGCCCTTAGCCCCCAAACACAGCCCGGAGAGTCACCGTCCCTGCCAGGCCAAGCAGCTGCATGTCTGCTGAGAAATGGAAGGAGAGACATTCTGTGAGGAATGTACTTTTCAGGGTAACTTGTCTTCTGAAGCTGCTGAGAGGCAGAGGCCGGGCGTTCTAGAAACGGCCTGGTGCATTCGCTCCAGAAAGTCCGAGCCGAGGAGGGACCGTGACTACGGCCACGTTCTGGGCTACGTCCAGTATCAGCGGGTCCCACGGCCTGAGGGAACCACTTCCTGTCACCTGGGCGAGGGTGAGGCCAGGTGGAGGACCTCACTCAACAGCCTGGGGGCTGAGAGCTTCCGGGGCTGGGCCGCTGGCCAGTCACGTGTCAGCGCCCTGCTGCAGGCCTCAGGGACCCACGAGGGACGAGTGGAAGCAGGGCCGGAGGTTCCTGGAATTGAAAGTATTTTTCCTGACAGCATTGAAGATGGCCTGCCTCCTCGACGAACACTGCTATGTGGTTTTCTCTTGGAAAGAGCGTGAGGCTTTTACCACACAGGTGGAAACCCCAACGCGCCGCCTGCCTGAGTTGCATCTGCTTTCTGCCTTCTCTTCCAGGAATCCCGGGGACTCGGCTGCCCAGGTGATTTGACTAGACGTCCCTAATCTCCTCTAGGTGATGCACCTGGCCCGGCAGTGCCTGCGTCACAGTGTGTGGGTGTTCTTTAAGCCACTTTGTGGAGATGTGGTTCACCTGCCGGAGGCCGTTTCTGCCCTTCTAATACCAGGGCCTCCACGCCCTCACGGCGGCCACGCACAGCGGGGCTGTTCCTTAGACAATTCCAGGAAGATCAGGCAGCCCCTGGGTCTGACCGGCCTACAGGTGCAAGGTGACTTGGCAGGGATGTGGACCAGGCACTACTGAAAAATAGCATTTCTGGGTAGATGATTAGAATTGTTTTTGTTTTTTAATAAATTACAAAGTATTGATTGAAAAGAATTTTAAGCAGAACAGTGTTACCTGACAGTGCCCACACATTAGCCTGTCTGTGGGTGAGGTGCTGCCTAGACGTGGAGGTCAAGGCTGATAGAGCCACAGGTTCGTTGTCTTCTGGGGTTCATGACCATTAGGAGACAAGGCGAAGGGACTACAGATGTTGACCAACCTGCTCTCCGCCTGCCTTCCTCCTCCTCGGAATGTGTAATATTCCTAAACCATTTGGAACCTATTCAAGATGTCTGTATCCTAATGATACCTGTGACTCTCCACTTAGTTGTAGATTTTCCGTAGGGAAAGCAACACCAGGCTTATGCACAGGTGCAGACTGTCAATTATTACCTCGGGGGAGGGGAAAAGCATACTGTTGTTAAACTTAGCTGTTGTCCATATTTTGTCTTGATTGGGTATTTTTAAGAGCTTATGTGTCCAGCTCTGTATAAAGGAAATCTGAAACTGACTAGCTGACGGAAACTGACAGAAAGATGCCCTTTGTCACTGGGTGCATGTCAGGTGTCTCTGGTCAGTCTTGCCCATCGGTACAGAACGCTTGCTGTGCACGCTCACCATCAGTCCAACTTGCATCTTCCTGCTGCATTTGGACCTGTGGGTGCTAAGTGAGCAGGACCCACCTCCCAGCTGTTTGCACCTGGAGAGACGGGGTGGAGCAGTGAGCAGCAGAAGAGCTGCGGCTGGAATGGGCGCCATGTCACTGCACACAGTAAGCAATCACGGGCGTCCTGAGCAGCCCATGTGTGCTCCGTGAACAAACGGGCTCCGTTTGTGCTGAGCCGAGGGTGGGCTGTGGGCCCCCCTACCCACCCACCAGCACGAGCTCTCCTGTGTGACAGCCACCTCAGCGTGTGCTGCCATGTCCTGGGTGGAGAGGGGTCGTAAGACACAAAATATATCAGCAGTGTGTCAAAATGAAGCGTGGCAGACCAGGTCTTGTCACTGCCCAAGCTGAGTAACAACTTAACCTTGTTTTAGGCCCCACGTTGCTGTGGCTGGAGCATCGGGTGCAGCAGAATTGATCATCAGTTTTGCATAATGGCAACGAAAGGTAAGCTTACCACACTAGAACTCTTCAGAATTCTCTGACTCTAGGAAAGACAGCCACACACAAACGATGGTTGCTTTGAGGGTGACCCACAGGAATTGGTATGTGTCTTGGGAGGGCGCTGGAACACTGTCACTGCTCTCGAGAGTGCAAGGGACAGCCACTCGGAGAAGCGGGTACTGTTTAGTGATATGGTCACCTTGCGTGGGTAGTAAGGACTCTTGGTTTGCAGGACTGTAGTGATGAAGGGCTGTATCTAGACCAGGGGTCGGCAAACAGCGGCTCGGAAGCCACAGGCAGCTCTTTGGGGACGTACAGTCAAATTTAAAATGAAAATAAAACTATCAGTTTCATTTATAAAATTTTTAAAGGATATTATTCACATAATGGTGATTTCATTTGTTTTATAGTTCTCGCAAAACTTTGAGGGACAGGATTGGCTCTGCCGTCTCAAACGTTTGCCGACCCCTGATCTAGATGAGGGTAATTTATAGCAAGACAGGCTGTCCTTTCACAGATGAAGAACAAGGCTGAGAGGTGAGCTCGCCAGGCCCCATCCTGTCCCTCACTCACAGCTGCTCCTTAGGAATCGCAACTACACGTGTATGTCACATAATAATACGTTCATGTATTTATACTACTAAGAATGTTATTATGAGGCAAATTAATACTAATAGGCAGTATTTAGTTGGATCAAGGTAAAATGTGAGTTTGCGTTCCCATTAGACGCTGATGAAGCTCTAGGACAGATGACACAACAAGGAGAAGTTCAAGTATTCTTTATTCAAAGTTGAAAAATGTACCATACTGCATTATTGCAAAAATTCACTGGTACAAAAACACTTTGCAGCTGGTGAGAAGGCAATAAAAAGTTGATTTTTAAACTCATTACTATAAATTATCCTTACAGTACTTTGCAAATTCAGAATTTCAAACCGCATTTTCTTTCTCTAAATTGCCCACAGTACTCGAGGTTCCTGAAGCTAAGGCAGCTGTTCGAGGGGGGAGGTAGCAGACGTCAGGGGATCTCCATCTCTCTCTCAATGCCCACATACTTCAGGGCATCGGCCTGGCTGTATCTGCAAGGGCACAAAGGAGGCATGACCGCAAGCCTTCACCAGGTGAGACCGCCACCACACTTCAGAGGGGACATTAAAGGCACACACCCACCACATTCCAGTGGAGACGTGGCTGGCCTCTGAACCGGACACACCTGCTGGTGCCACCCTTCCCATGGCTTTTGCCCCTCCACTGCCCAGGAAGGCAGGTCTGACCCTGGGGCTGCTGACCCCACTCAGGTGGGGGGGGGAGTAGCAGTGACCTGCGCCAAAGCAGCATGCACGGACCCTGTCACACTGGGCTTAGAGCCCCCGTTCAGCAGCCAGCCATGTGCCACTGGAAGTGGCAACACATGCAGTTTCGTTTATAACTCAACCCGTGCAAACAGCTTCTGACTGATCAAATGTAAATAAACTGGTAAATAATGACGTATGTAGTAAGTCCTCTAGCACTTCGTAAGAGTGAAGTAAACAGGATAAATCACAGTGTGCTGCAGACCACCGGCTAAAATGTAATGTGATCACATTCCCTGAAGGGCCCAGATGGTCACACCAGCAGGATAAAAAATGGGGGGTTCTCCATTCTTTTTATATTTTTAAAGTAAGCAGTGCTTCTAACTCCTCACCAATGCTTACAGCAAAGAATGACCCCAAATCAGTACCCTGTCAACAGAAGACCTGGTGAAGAGCTGAAAGCCTGTCTCAGCTTCTAGTCCAGGAAGAGCTTTCTTCATTCTCACATCACACCAGAAAGGTCCTGTTGCCTACCTGTAATCAAAAAACAGCTCTTCCCCGGTCTGGATGGCTCTCTTCGCAAAGATCCCTATCCTGTGGTCGCCGTTGACCATCATCACTGGAAAGACAGGCACGCCGGGATCAGTGGGGTTGTAAGGCAGGAGTGGGGGGCGTATTCACAGGACAGACCTGTCCTGGAGCGTTCAGGTCGTCGTCACTGCACTGAGAGGGAGTCCCGCAGTCAGACATCGGGAATGCGGACCCCAGAAGCACCTACCTTTTGCATAGCAGTTTGGATTGACGGAATGATTTGCAAAACGAATTTTGTTACCCTTGCGGGTTGCGTCCACCACAAAATCTAAAGAGAAAAAATAAGCACAATGCAGTAAACAATTTGTTATAGATTAACCAGCTGTGTCCCCACAATCATGACGTTTTAGTTCTTCAGGGTTTGCATTCAAAGGCAAGTAAGTCATTCAGCCAACTTCATTCAGCATGAAATGACATTTGGAAGAAAATGCTGTTGAAATTGACTGGTACTAAATATGTACTGATGAGCAAAACATTTAAAAAAGTGGAACCTGGCTAAATTTCAAAATTATGATTTTCATTATACTGCTTATAAAAACATGTTCATAGAAAACCTACCCTCTGTATATCAAGTTAATATCTGAGGTACTAATGTCATGACTCCCACCAGTGACATGGCCTGTTCTTTGCCTCCTATATCCCCACAGTCCTTCGAGACCACGGACGTTTTGGAGATGCTTCACCATTCAGGGTCCCCTGCCCTTTCCGGGGAGCGGCACTCCCTGGCAGACTTATGCCAAGCTGACCCAACACCCAAGTCCTTGGGAACACAACAGGAGGGCGGCAGCAGACCCGAAGAACGTCTTCCCGCCAGTCTGGCCCCGGCGCAGAGGGCTCGCCCCTCCAGGGACCACATAAGCCATGCCACCACTGAAGGACGCGTCCCCAAGTCACAGCAGCACGGCCTTCTTGGCTGCAGAGCAGTGGCTCACTCCTACACCAGGTAAGGAGCTCGGACTGTGAAGGAAGACGCTCCGAGGTGCCAGCCAGGAACTAAGTGCCCTCCAAGTGGAACATACCGTTATTCAAGTTGAAGAGAAAGCTGCACATGTATTTGTCATACACTTTCCCTCTTCTGTCCGCTTCGTCTTGAGAAATGATCTAAGAAGAGACACAGAGATGGTGTTGGATTAGGTGACCCAACCTGGTAGGGGACACACAGGCTCATCAAAAGAACTCGACGGGGTCACTGTGACCATGTCTCCCCCATTCAGTCCACGGGCTGATATGTCAGAGATCAATGGTATTTTGAGGACTAACAAAAAAGTCTCTTTACTGAAGGAAAAATACAAACCGGTTAGGTTGACTACAAACTGAAGCTAGCCCTATCTCGGGCTTGTCCCTACCTCGACCACTAAAAAGGCACATGATACATGACGGTGTCGTTTCTAGGTCCCTATCAGGCTGTTGACTGAGGCGGACAGACTCCTGCATCGTCCAGCTCCGGTTCTTCCCTTTGTCCCCAGATGATAAAAGCTCAGTGTGACCAGGACTGAAGCATTCCAGTTACCAAACAAGCAGAAGTCCATGCTGAAAAGGTTTTGTATTTCTCATCAGCCCCAAGGAGAATCCAAAACCGCTACTAGACACACCACCACACAGCCTCAGGTGGTCAGTGGACGTGATGACACTGCCCAGAGCGCGTGCGCCTTCCTTACCTCACCACAGTATTCCGAGATAAACTCATTTTTCTGTACAGGATCTTTGATGAAAATCCCCCAGCCAGCCACGTCAGACGGCGCCAGCAGTAAATGCTAGAGAACAAAGCACAGTCATATAATCAGGAGAGGAGCGAAGACCGACTGCTGACTGACAGACGGGCAGACAACGGGGTGAGTCACCAAGTCCTCTGGCCCATCCTAAGGCAGCAATTCTACCCAAGTCACCAGGATACCTGCTGGGTACCCCGACCTGAGCGGTCACTTTCCCTCGTATTGCCCAAGGGAAAACAATACTGTTTTTCTTAAAAATCAAGTAGAGAGCGAGCATAAGCTCTCTCACACAGAAGACAAACAAGGCTGTGGTGGTGCTGGGCCCTGGCAGGTCCCTACCATTTCTTCAGTCCTTGACTTCCCTGACTGGTTGGCTTTCAACGTGGAACACGAGGACAGAGCACCATCCCTCTCCATTCAGTTCAGCCCCCGCAGGACATTTTCTGGCTCCTAACTAGCTTTGCATTCCTCCCACAGCAGTTTACCCCGCATCTCTTCACAAGAGCACGAGCAGCTCCCACGAGGCGCTGTGATCCTCCGTCAGGCCAGCATTCTGTCCCTGGCCGATGCCAACAGGACCACGCTGCCCACTGAGCCTGAAGGTGTCTGGGAATCAGTCCCAAACTTTTCACCGTGGTTCTTCTGGAGGCTTTCATTCCAAATTGCCTTGTGACCTTTCTCTAGAAAGGCTCCCTGATCAACCCAAACTCGCAGCCTACACTCACCTGTCCAGGGAATTTCCCAACTACCTCCCTGATCACAAACTAAATCAGCTGAGCAACATTAAGCAAATGAAACCCGGGTGCTCAAAAGGATCTACATAGGCTTTGTTTTCAGAGCTAAAAGAAGACAACATGAAGCCCACTTCCTGAGTGGACTAGATGGAGAAATGAGATCAGTAGGGCTGAACAGGAAGGAACGCCATGGGCAACTGCCAGCACCTCTGTGGCACAAGGACCTACATGGACATTAACTGGCTAGAGGAAAAGTAACACTGGAAAACATCACAGCCAAAACAGAAGCCACTTCCAGAAATGGAATTCCCGGTGGAAGGAAGGCGGACTCCAGCAGTGGTGTCTCAGTCACATCATAGAGGACACCTGGATGGCCTAAAATGCGGAGGGTGACAGCAGGGGTCCTGGAGCCCCTGTTCCTCTCAAGTGCTGTAATTGGGGCGTTAATGACTATGCCCTCGGGGCCTAAGGACTAAGTTACTGCTCAGAGCACCTGGCCCAGTGCTCTGCAGACTGGCTTCAGTTACGTAATTCCTGTGTTGTTTTCAAGGTTAGTAAAGAGACTGAAGTCTGCAAACCCTGCCGCGGGTAATTCCATCTTTCACTGTGCACAAAGAGGCATACTGGATCTGGATCTGTTTGATAAAATGGTCTCTATTTAGGAACACTGTTGAAACGATAGCTCTATTAACTAAATATAAACAACTAAAAAGGCAGCGCTTTATTCCAAATCTGAAACCATTAGTAATTGCTTCTCAGAATTCACTGGTCCATCTTACACCAAAGTGAGGGGTTCTACAGGACACGGAAGCAGTCGCTTCAATCACTTGTTTTTCTGCCCTGAAGGGCCTAAGGCTGCCCTGGCTGACCCTGTTCGAGAACCCAGAGTGGAGGGGCCGCGCACCTTTTTGGAGCCCCGCTGAATACTGCAGTTCTTGCAGGACACGTTCTTACTGTCCCAGTGGTCGGCAGCCCCACAGGTGAGACAGAGGTCAGGGTCGCACTCTCGGACGGCCAGGTAGCATGGGCACTGCTTGGTGTTGCACTGTGCTTTGCAGCGGCATCCCGGAAAGCGGTTTTGACCTTCAGAGAAAGGTTCTTTATCATCATCCTGAAAACCTTGCATCAACGGTGATGCCTGTCAAGACCTGTGCTAAGCCCCTGAGACTAGGTCTGTAAACCTCCCAGCAACCTCGAGTCCAGCCTGCAGATGAGGAAACGGCACAGGTAACCAGCTTCCTGTGCATTTTCATTACAATTACAGTCACTGCCCTCAGGATACAGTTCCTTTATTCCAGGGATTAAACCTGCCCAACTGAGATTTCTGGTGCCCAAAAAAGTATCTGGTAGCTATTTCTAGATTCCCCTTACATCCTGTGCCACCCTGACTATAACTTAAACCATCAGGAAAAGCTCCTTGAATCCACTTTTACCTAACCTGCTGCACTGCACACATTGGCCAGGAGACAGGCTGGACACTAGCACAGGGCCGGCTACGGGGCTCCGTAAAGCCTGGGGGCTCCATGGCTATCCGAGGGAACAGCGCGCACGAGCTGCCGCACCCCGGTTTTGACTTGAGTCACTACTGGAATTGCTGACCAAGAGCCTATTGCATTCTCATGCAGTTTCATCAAAGCAGCAAATACTTACACTCTGAACTACATTGACAAAACTTTTCACAAAAATTTTGTGCTATCACACAAGGGCACGAACTGTCACAAGGCTGGCGTGGATGGTCACAGGGCTGGTAGTTGTAAACGTGGTTAGAGGAGCCGTCTGCATCAAGATAACAGCGTGCAGGTCAATCCCGAGGCGGAGATGGTGGCACACATCGCAAGAACACATTCGTCCCCCTTCCCTTTGGAGCTCAGGCCCCCTGGCTGTACGTACTTCACACGTATTCCTGTCTTCCTGTCTACATCCCCCGCGGGCCCGCACGCGGAGCACTGTCACCACGTCTCAGTCCGATCCCCAGAGGACTGTGCCTTTAACCCACTGGCTGCCTCGCTCATTCCAGTCACCTTCACTGCACAAGAAAACTGACTGGCAATATAATAACACACATCCTCCGTTTAAATTGGTTTAATGTATAGAAGTCAACTATCACAATATCCTAAACTCTCTCAAACAAATGACAAGTAGACATTTTTACATTAATAATGAAGTTGAAGGGAAAATGCTAACCTTTTTTCAGCTGTATCTTTCTGCAGTGTGCAGCCCACAACCTGCAAAACACAAAGCAAAATAAACCAGTGTTCCCCAGGAAGCTCGGGAGTGCAGTAAACAGACCTCACAGAAGCTACTGAAACACGTCCGTCTGTACCAGGAAGAGAGCAGTGCCTTAAATCCCAGTCACTGGGACACAAGCGTTGCACACACCCCGGCCTACGCTTGCTGTTCGTGCAGCCAGGTTCGTCCTGGTGTGACGACACTGAGGCGTCCACGTTGTCTGATGCCATGCATCCTTAATCATTCAACTGAGCTACACGGTCAGAAGGAACGCAACCAAGATATTCACAAGTATCTCTGTGGGAAAAATGTAAGTTCTTAAGTGCATGCTCCATTTAGTAAAGAAATGGAACAGGAGTCTGTATGCAAGTTTTGAAGCGTAATCCAAACAGTCCCTTCCCAACACCAAGTCAGGTCTTCTCAGAACACGGAGGGTGGGAGATGAAAGCTCCCGGTCCGGCCCCCCCCTGCTGGCCGTACGCTTACAGAGCAGTCGGCCTGCGTGGTCAGGGTGCCGCCCCACCCATTGCCACAAGCCCGTGAATGGTGACGTCCACACACACAGCCTTAGATATGCTGCAAGAGTATCAGAATACAAGGGCGCACACCTAGAACATCCCAGCCTCTGGAATGAAAACCAGCTTGGTGCTCACATCAGCACACCAAGGTTCATGCTCAGGAAAACATCCGAGGACAAACGCTGTACTATTTACACAGCCTTTGCTGCAGAAGCCACTGTGTTCTTAACCAAATGCAGCACAGTAACCATGATTTTTAGCTCTTACACCAAATCTGGAGGCTGTTGTATTCTTATGGAAGAATCCCAGCACTGCCCTTGCATACAAGACTCCAGTTGTGTTTTTGAGGCCGGTTAGGTGTCTGTTAACCAAGTGGAGCTCAGGCGCTGGCCTGCGGCGCCTTTTCCTGGTGGTGTGTAATGGCTGACATACCGGTGTTTCCTTTTCTTCTTCCGTGGCGGCGTATCAACGTCCTCGGCAGGAGCTGGAGCGATGATACTGGACTCTTTGACCCGGAACTCATACACCTGGCAAGAGGCAGGCACAGAGCCGTGAGGACCATTGAGCTTAGCAGACTAGTCTGCCACTGACTCACGCCAGAAACCTGTCTCTTGTGACGCTGCTATGGTGCTGGGGACACAGGTGAGAGAAATCAGACACTATCCGGACCCTCTTACAGGGAGAGTGGCTGTGACTACATTCTGATCAAGGGGCTCAAGGCTAAACCTAAATTTTTACTGGCTTTTCAGGGGAGCATTTGAGATCTTGCTACCCAACCTACATTGTCAGTTCAAACACTTATAAAAACTCAAACAATAAATAAATTGTTACTGGCTTTTTAAATCCGTTGCCTCCTAACCTGAAATAGCTCAAGTTGGAGGAACAGTTTTCTTTCAGTTCCCTCAGTGAAAAAAAGAAATGGACTCCTTTTCAGGAGACGAACAGGAGCTTAATTGAGACTGTCTCACGTCTGGACAGTGACGGCGTTTCCCTCTTCACCAGGGTGCCTCCCAGATGTGCTTACCTGTCTACATGTTTTGGTCCCAATTAGCCTGGCAATGGCACAGAAGTTGTCATAGTAGGTGCCAATGAGGACGCGGAACATGGAGGCCTCGGCCCCGCTCCACTCCACATTCTCGGGGGGCTCACTGTTGGGCTTCATCTTTATTGGTGTTTGACACCGAGAATTCGCTTCTATAAAAGCAGAGTTAAGCACTGGTCAGGAAGGGCAACTGGAGAATGGTGTGTGAAGTACAATACAACTCAGGAAGCGCATCTTCAAGGCTTCCCCCGGGGAAAGCCAGAGGCTGGGCCCTCCTGCAGTGAAGGCCATGGGTTTTCTGTTCTCCGTGGTTCACTCACAGGGCTGAAAGGCCAACTCCAAGCCAGTCAGGAAAAGACGAGCCAAGGTTCTAATCTCTCCTAACCCAACATCAAGAGTCCTAAACTGAAGGAACTGAATTCCAGTCTGCCCTGACACATGAGACAATGGCACACAGTGAAAACGAACGACGTGGCCACACCTGAGTTGCCCAGAGGGCCAACATCACAGGCAGGCTCAGGGCAGGGGCGGCAGCAGGAACTCAGCCACAGGCCTTCCTCGAGAGGGCTCTCTGCTCTTGGAGTTCTCAATGTATTGAAAATGACACCACAGGCTCTTTATCTCCACAATGTGGAACTTTTCAAAGCGACAGGGCAGCCCAGGGGTTGGACCTCTCACCTGAGGAGCTGGAGGTTTCGTCTTTCTTCTCCTCCTCCTCCTTATCGTTGCTTTCACCGCCAGTCTCGGTCCCGGCTTCCCGGTCACTGTCCGTGTCCTTGGACTCCAGCACGTTGATGGTGGGGGTGCTGGGCCGGCTGCTGTTGTTGGGGAGCCTCCCCCTCCTGCGGCCCCCTGGGCGTTTGGGGGGAGTCTTGATCCGCTCAGCCGTGAGGGCAGCAGCGAACTCCTTCGCTCCCTCCTACGAAGTGAAACACGCAGACATCAAGGTAAAGTTCTACAACTCATTTTGGTGGAGAAAAAAAGACTGCACAAGGCAACTTAGTCAAGAAATGTATCACAACATCCATTTTCCACAAATAATCATTTTCTATCTGTTTGTCATAGTTTGGAAATTTCAGACAGACAAACATGGTTCTATACATTGCTAGAGTGGTAAGAAATCAGGCAAGACCTGTATTTGTGATCTACATTAATTATAATTTATAAAAAAATACCAAATATACTTTATGTAACATTGTCTCTCTACAATTGAATTCTTAATCATAATTCTAATGATAATTCTAATGAGCGTCTCAAGTCAGATTTCCTTACTTTGGGGTTTCTTCAGATTTAACAACCTCTTTAAGGTCGTGTTTCAAATACACAGGAAGAATACAAAACATAAACATGCCTGACTTGGTCACTTCCTGCCTTACTATTAAACATGTTTTCTTCCTGTGAGGGACACACAGCCCCCAGGAAGACACAAAAGGAACTAAGGAACCAGGCCGCAAGGGTTACGTGCCATCTGAGGAAGTGTAATAATCCAGTCTCAGAAAGTATAAAACAATGGTAATGCAGGGGGGAGACCGGAGAAACGTTTTCGATTACCGTATTTGCCGGCGTATAAGACGACTGGGCGTATAAGACGACCCCCTAACATTTCCACTCAAAATACAGAGTTTGTTATATACTCACCGTATAAGACTACCCCCTCTTCCACACACCTTCCACACACCAAATAAAAGGTAAAACAATATCAGATTTGATTTCAACATTTATATTTATATTCAAATGCTTATGACATGCAGGAAAACTGTCACAAGGCTGTATGTAATCAAACATATATATAAATCGCGATTCGCGATTTTGCGCTGCTATACTGGGTGTATGGTCAGCTGTGTGCGATTTTGCGAGTGGTAAAATCGCATAACAGCAAAATCGCGTAACAGCCGAGCATACACCCAGCAGCGCTGCTGATGCCTGAACGGTATGTGGAATGAAGTGGGCGGGCATCGGGAGGCCACTATGGCACGGGGCAAGCACTATGGGCAGTCTATCTGAAGTGTACCTGGCGTATAAGACGACCCCCCACTTGGAGGCATATTTTTCAGGGCCAAAAAATCGTCTTATACACCGGCAAATACGGTAAAATTCTGCCTTGTAAAGAGTATTATGAGATAGTGCTCAAGAATTCCATTTTTAGTGGCAATAGAAGGGAGAAGTTTGAGAGCAGCCAACAGTTTTATACTTCATTCTACAAAAACCAAATTGCTTAAAAATAGGATACCTTCTGCAGGTGCCATTCAATGAATCTTCTGTCCAAAATCCAACAGGCAATATATACCCACTTAGTTCCTAGGTAGGAGTGGCTTGGTTCAAAGAGGGGAAATGGTAAAAATAAGATAGTACCCGTAAAAACAACTTTTCTACTCCTATTTTCCTAAACCTTTACCTTTTCTCCATCATTAAACAAACAAAAAAAAATCCGTGGGACCTATGCTATAGCTCAAACTACAGTGGGTCTAAAACTCACACAGGGGCCCTGAGAATGCCGTGGGACTACTGCATGTGGTTACCGAGGTTCTGGGTCTACATGGGCTAAACTTTGTGGAAGGTGTATGAGTCCTTGATCCTAAAGACCTTGAGATGCTGCTGAAGAGACTAACATAAACAGAGTGATACAAGATTAATGAAGGACTACAACGTGCTGCACGTCAGAGCTGAAGGAAACGACATGGGTGAGAACCTGTCTACTGCGTGGCCAGTGAAGGTGTGGGCACCACGGTGTCATGCTGACTTGATACAACACCTCACCACGGGCAACACGAACACTTGCCACATGCCCTCTGCAGCCACACGGCACCCAGGCTCACCAGATGCTGGTAACACTGTGGCCCACAGGGTTTGTTGTCCAGAGCTGTTTCTGTGTTCTTCCGCTTGTAAGTGTTGGGTGTTGCATGAAAAGCTGCAAAATAAAGGTAAATATCCACATATAACACTAAAACATTTACTTTTTCATTTCCCCACATCAATGGGAAAAGTCAGTTAATACATGACTCTTGCTAATATACAGTTTACATCACAGAACTTTCCTTCGAGCTCTGACTGACTTGATCACCGAGGACTTTCCTCGCCTCTACCACGGCACCGCCACTCCCCACAACGCCTAGCCAAGGAGAAACATTACACTCTGGAATGATTAGTGCTGTCTTAGTTCTCTCCTTGCAAGTTTAACTGATGCACATAAACTCTAATTATAAACTATTATTTGAGTCTTTAATATCGCCATAGAAACTGATATATCCTCATTGAGTCAGCAATCAGCTTGTCAAATGGGGAATAGAATACCACTTGTTTAAAATAGTGTTTAATATAAATAGGACAGCCTCAGAATACCAAAATTCAATTTTCTTTCAATCATACACAATTCAAGCACCTAGTGAGAGCTTGCAGTCAGCACCTTCCCACAGGAAAATACAGAGGTCAGATAAAACAGGTTTTAGAAAGATATAAAGTGTTTGAAAGTTAAAATTCCCAAAAAATGTGATAAAGATTCAGATCACACACACTATACTAACCAAGTGGGAATACACAGCTGTGAGAACTTCGGAGAACCTGGGAAAGCTTGCTTCCAATGTGCAAACCAAGTACTAAGAATGGCCTATTCAGAACAGGACAAGGTGAGAATTATTTAATTCTGATTAAAACAGCTGACACTTATGAAACAAGTCATTTTTAAGATACTTGTAAAAAGCCACACTTTATCCATAAAACCTGAATGGGATAGAAAGACTAATGAGGGAAGGGGGGGGAAATAAAAGAGGACAGTGTTTTTAAAGTAGAAATTCAAGGCCCAAATTCGTTTCAAGTGTATGATTTTTTTCTCAGAACAGGAGCCTGATACCATACACCAGTTGATCACTGGATTATATTTTAACAGGCAAGAACCCCTAAAATACAAAGACTGAGCATGTAGACGGTTAAGGTCACATAAGCAGCAAGGAATTACATCAGTCCAAAAAACACGATTGTCGGGCCGGCCAAGTGGCTCATTGGTTAAGAGCTGGCTTGGGACGCCAGAGGGCCCCGGTTTGGATCCCACATATGAGGGCCAGTGACACTGCCCTCTACAGCTAAGATGCTGAACAACAGCTCAACCTGGAGCTGGGCTGCCCTGAGTCGCTGGTGACAGCGTAGGCTGCAGTCCCTGCTGCAGTGGGTTGCCATGGGCTACCGTGCCAGCAGCCAGCATGAGTGGCCAGCAGCCGCAGTGAACGGCCGTCCAGAAGCCGGCAACTGATGTGCCTCGCCCGGGAAGAGCGCAATGATGGTGCCAGCTTGGGCCAGTGAAGCAACGTCCTCCACAACTAGATGGAAGAAAAGGACAGCAACTTGTCTGTTCCCCTTCCCCCAATTCCCCAATTAAAAAAAAAAAAGGAAAAGCTGATACAATTGGATTTTATGCTTAAAATGAATTCCTGTGTAGGCCATTCAGACAATAGAAAGCTTATCAAAATATTTATTCCACTAAAAGTTCTACTTCGGTTGTATTTAAACACATACAATTTCCCAGGCTTACTTCCCCAGGCTTCCTTTCTTCCTTCCCTGTCAGAAATTACCAAAGGCAGACCGGACAGCCAATTTTAGGCTGAAGCTTTAATAAATTACCAGAATTCCAAGTTCGCAGAACAATCAGTTTCCAATTTACAGAATGGGCTGTGGCCTAAAAATTATTTGGAATGTGAAGTGGGATTAGCTCCCTGACCAAAACCCTTTATCCTTCCAGGTTCATGAGAACATTCGAGTCCCTCTAAGAGAAAAGCTCCAGTCAGGTAGATACTGCATTTCTGGCAGTCCCCTACCATCAAAACACTGTCCTTAGAAAAACTGGTAGATACCCCTAACATCTAAATAACAAGGCCTAACATCAGTAAGGCTAGCAGCACAAACACAGTAAAAATAGTAACATCCAAAAAGGTCCTTTCTCCTGGAAGTTTAAAAAATTCTCCTTTAAACAATGAGCTAAAGAGAAAATATAAAACATTCCTTAAAATTGTTTTCAACATAGCAAATATAATACCAAATATTAGAACCTAAAAGTTGAAACTGCTCTAGACAATTCATTGTGTTAAACACAATAAACCAAAATAAGAATGACAACAAACATCACTCAGTACAACTAATACAGTAGCTGATTCTGAGAAAAGACAGATTTTTTAAATAAAATATATAAATCACTTCTTAATCTCAAGAAAAAAGGAAGAACAGAATACATACGAAACAAGAATAATCACTGAAATAAGAATCTGTAGAACATGTAGATCAATTTTATACAAATAAATTTCAAAACTTGGATGAAATGGGTAATTTTCCAAAACTGATCCAGAAGTGACAAAATTTATCTACTAGCACCATTATTATTTGTACAAGCCAATATAGTTAGGCAAGAGAAAAAAATTAAAGTTATAAAGATTGGAAAGAACACCATCAATAATTGCAGATGATTTAATTATATGAGCTGAAAAACTCAAAAGAATCTGCTGACAAATTTATAAACAAGGACAATTCAGCAAGGTAGCAGCATATAAAATATATAAGATAGAAAGGGGGAAAGTCCAACAACAGCAACACATTTAACACCTAGAAATCATCTGACCAAAGAATGGACTAGAGCTACGTGAAGAAAACTTAAGGTTATTAAAGGAGGCTTGATCCTGGTTAGTCAGGAGTAATCCTTATTTTTAAATGTCAAGTTCCCCTTAAGTAATTTATAATTTAATTGGGATCCCAAAAAACATACTACCTAGACTTTTTTGTAATTAGGCAAATGGATTTTAAAATTTATATAAAAAAACAACAGCCAGGAGATCTCGGAGTAAAGCTTCCCGGACAGATTAACGGAACGAAACAGACCCAAGTACACGTGGTTGGTGATGGGCAACGAAGGCAGCATCTCATTCATGGCAGTGAAAGAGGAACTTTTCAACAAATGGTGTGGAAACAACTAGGTGGGGAGGGGAGTTGGATCCAATATCTATCAGAAAGGGGCCGGCCAAGTGGCTCAGTTGGTTAAGAGCACGGAGCTCTGAGCAACAGGGCCCCACATGGGCCAGTGAGCTGCGCCTGAGCTGAGCTGCCACTCAGCTGCCAACAGGTGGCAGGGTGGCTCAGCTGGTGAGGGCACATGCTCCTAACAACAAGGTTGCTGGTTCCACTCCTGCATGGGATGGTGGGATGTGCCCACCCGCAACTAACATTGAACACGGCACCTTGAGCTGAGCAGCCGTGAGCTGCGGCCAGGCGGCCAGATGGTGACTGGACTTGGAGCTGAGCTAGCTGCGCCCTCCACAACTAAGATTGATGGACAACAACTTGGCTGTTCCTCTTCCCCAATTCCCCAATAAAATCTTTACAAAAAAAAAAAAAGAAGAAGAAGAAATCTCTTGGTTTCCCTTAAAATCCTACTAGGAAGGGGGCTTTAACAAGTGGCTTGTTGAAAGGTAGCAGAGCAAATTCTCTTAAAAAAAAAAAAGAATAAATTCCAAGTGGATCGAAGAGTAGATGTTAGAAAATGAAGCCTAAAACATACTAGGAAAAAAGGCAGCACCTTTATCATCTGGGAGTAGGAAAAGCCTACTGATAAATTCACCTACCTTTACACTTTTTTTTAACTTTGCTTTTGGAATTTTTACCGAACAAAAATTACAACTCATCTCAAAAAGTCCAATTTCCTGACTATATAAAGAACTTCCAGATTTCAAAAAGACCAACAAGCCAAAGGATAAAAACAGTTCCAAGAAAATAAAATCCAAATTTCTTAAACATACAGAAAGGAAAAAATGCAAATTAAACAACGCTAAAAACCGTTTTTCACTCATTTATTCAATAAAAATCACTTTTCCACACATTCTATTGGCAAGGCTGTGGGGAAACAGGCATTCTTACTCTGCTGGTAGGTCTTCAAACTGGCACATGCCCAGGTGGCAGGTCACATGGCAATATCTAAATAGAGTGAGTCAGGTTAATGTGTACGCATGCGAAATGATGTACAGGTGCATGCTAGGTTATTCACTGCAGCGCTGTGACAGCAAAAGGCTCGAAACCCTCCAAATGTTGACCTTTAGAGGAGAGAGTCAGTTATAGTGCCTCCTGAAGCAGCTGTCCAGACAGCAATAATATCTACAACATTAAGTCAAAAAAGGGAAAAGCCTGAATAATAAGGCTGAACAGGATGGTCAGGAAACAAAGAATGCATTTGCCGGAAGAAACTAGAAAGATACAGAAGAGCCAGGGAGACTTCATTCACTGGACACCTTTTAATACTATTTTGTAATGTAAACCACGTGAATGACAACCTATTAAAAAAAAGCTCAACACAACCCAGATACTATTTTAAGTATTTTACAGACTAATAAATTTAATCCTTACAACAGCTTATGAAGTACTATATTCCCATTATATAAACAAAAAACAAAATGAAAGCACAAAATACTATCATTTAACATGTTTAGTAACTTACTTAATGGCTTATTTTACCTATATAGTGTGTGATATTTTGTCACATTAGAGTAAAGCCACAAAATACGTATAGAATTCGTTAAGGCTCAATTGTGAAGAGATTAGCTCTAAGTGGGAAAAGGGCGGGCGTGGGGAGCAGCCCATCTACCCCAGCCGCCCGCTTCATTACAGCGAAACAGCGCGCTCTTCTCCCCAGCTTGAATGAGATAACTGACAGGTGCAAGGTTCATCAAAATTACTCAAATCTGAAGAGCGCAATAAAGTAACTCTTGTAATGTTTAAAAGCAGTATCCTGCTTCCTTGGTTCATTTATACAACAAAAAGGGTACATTAAATGCTGCATCTACAACACAAATTAGAGGAACCATTTCCTCCAAAATAGACCTTCCACTCAATTTTTCTGCCACAATATTCTTAATAAGAATTGGACATAGTTTATAAAATGACCACATGAAAAAGGGAATTATATGCAATTCAAGACAAATATTTCAAGGGCTGTGTAAAGACAACACTTCCAAGCCCAAGATTCAGTCCTCGTCCAGCTGAAGTACCACGTGGCTGACACCTACAGATGACTAAAACCACCAAACCATCAATATCAATGAGACAGGCGTGTGGATAACACTGCAAGGAGATGGGAGATGATGATCCTGAAAACCTACTTCAAGCTTTTCTAATTTAAGATCACTCAACCACTAGTACTTCACACATACATACACATAAACATGACCATTTCCAGACCAAGACGTACATCACACAACAAATTAGGAGCTCCAGCAAATCTAAGCAGACAGAGCAAAAACTCAAAATGAGGCAAGATTTGGCTGGTTGGGCAGCCTGGGTAACATTAAGACATGTGACTAGAAAATGAGGGTGGCATTCTGGAAAAGATGGGCACAGGAACTCAAATAGACAAAGGAGCATGTTAGACAACCCCTCCCTACCCATGTTACCGGGCCAGACAGTCCCACTAGAAAGGGATATGGAAAAGGCTGACCTATATTAAGTAAACTCTGCATAGGAACCTGGGAGGTATGAAATATATTTTCAAAATATGTTCCTCAAAAGTAGCTGGTACTTTCAAACTGCTTAAAGAAATAAATTCCAGTTACCTGGAAAATTTACTAAGAAATGTCATTCCTCAGCACTGTCAGAAAAATAGAGTAATACTGTGTGTGCCTTACTTCAATTTCATTAAGAACATTTTATGCTTTACCTGTATTCAAATGCAGTTATTTTTTAAGGTAACTTAGAGGGCCAAATAAATAAATGAATATCTTAAAAAAAACACCTTTCACACTAAATAGAGAACATACATAGGCATCTTTTTAGCCAATATCTTATTCAACAAAACATGCTCATCACTATTGGCAGCGTTGCCCTGGGCTACCCATCAGCTAGATCACAGCGCTAGTTTCATTACACAACTGCTTGGTCAGCACTTAGGGAAAATCACTGACCTGCATCCCAAGTCACTGGGAGACAGCAGTCCAAGTTAAACATGTGCAGACTTACAGCAACCCTCAAGCAACACATTAAAAATAACAATACTCTGATCCTAACATATTTTTCAATCTTAATTGCAAGATTAGATGATAAATTCTAGCTGTAATAAACAACAACAATTTCCAAGTTGCTTTAAGACATAATTCCACAATAAAGATAGAAAATGAAAACGTACAATAATTGCACTTACGATGTAGGAAGCAGTCATATTTAAAACATCGTCTACAGAAAAGCGTATGAAATGAATGCAGGCTTTGCTCCCTCTGCACAGATTTGGCATTTGGTCCATCTATGTTTGGGGTGCATTCAGGAGGAAGTGCACCAGGCAGCTGCTGTTCGGTGAGTTCTTTATACCTAACATTAACCAAAAAAAAGGGAAGTAAAGGTGAAACAAAAATTACTGTTATAAAAATCAAGTTTCTAAACGGTTTCCATGTATTTGATGTTTATCTTGCCTAAAACACAAAAGAAAAGGTTTAGCCTAAAACAATCTAGTGAAGAGCCAATTAAACACTATGCATGATATATCAAGAATCAAATTCACTGATATGATTCAAATTTACCATGAAAAATGTCATATTAAAAATTAAACATCAACTGCACTAAAATGTCAACAAGTGTCCAGAGAATTTATTCTATCTACAATAAAAGTTTTGTAGTACAAAGTTCCACAGAGATACATATCGCTTCCAGTGTCCTGCAAACATTGTGAACAAATGAAGCTACATCAGTTCCCACTTCTAAAAACCCAAGATAGTGGGTTACATACCATACAAGGCAAGATCGCCTCAAAAGAACAAATCTTACTTTTCCTTTAGTTCCTCTGCTGTGCCCTTATCTGGAAACATGGAGGAAATGGCTTCAAAAATTTTATCAGAAGGAAATTTCCGAGGTGGGCAGCTTTCTTTATCTAAACATGGAAATATAAAAGGAAAAAAAGAATAACAGTAAACAAGCTTTCAGTCTTACATTTTCTCCACATAATATATATATATCACAAAGCTGACTTTCCAAGTAATTATCAACTTTGTGTTTCACTTACTTCTAACGTATTTTACATGTATCTGTGACATGCTAGTAGGTCAAACAAAAAATTCAAAATCAAACATGAAAAGTGTGAAGCACACTGAGAGGCAGGAAAGGTAGGTTCTAATCCCCCTTCTGCTACTAACTGGTTTCGTGACCTTGGCTGGGCATGGATCCACTTGTCTGTTTGCTCATCTTTAAATTGAAGGAATTAACTAGATGATCGCTGAGGTGCCTGTTACAAAAAATTTATGCTTCTCTGAAACTGCTCTTTTCCCCCAAATTCTTCTATGTTTTAATAACGAGCTTTGCCCAGTCTCCGTCAACTCTCAGCTCTGCCCTGGGATCGTCTATTTTTCTGGTAAGCCCCACCTCGTAGGGGTTAAAAGCACGGGCTCTGGAGTCAGTCAGAGCTGGCTACCATTACGGTGTTCTGGGTTGTTTCTTCCCAATAGCGTAATCTTAAATAAGTGACTTCACTTCACTAAGCCCTCTCAGCTATAAAATGGACTTAATGATCGTCTCCACCTGTACAGCTTCATGAGGATCAAGTGAGCTGGTGCAGATAAAGCAATTAGCACACAACAGTCAGTGATCAATGTTACTTAATGATCATGATGACTGCCCAGTCAAACCCAGAAATCAGTATATTCTTTTGCTAGCCAAAGGAAATAAAAGATGCTCAGGTGCTGGACGACATGTTGCAAATAATATACTAATTTTCATTATACTATTGATGTGATTTTTAACAAAAGAAAAAAGAGAAAGAGAAAGAAAGAATTAAGATCTACTTGCACTCTACTGTTTCTGAAAAATGCTGGACTGGCTGCACACAGGTCTAACAGACATACCATCTCGGCTCTCCTCTACATCTTTCTGTTTTTCTTCTGTTTCATCAGGATCATCTCCATCATCGTCATCATCATCATCATCGTCATCATTGTACTGACCAAGAGCATTCACCAACTCCACAAAAATTTCATCATTTATAAACCCACATTCTGAAATTCACCAAGTCAAATATTAGAAATATACAGAGGAAAGTGGTAATTATAAAAGTTTATGTATGCCTTTTCTAATTTGGAAGAAATGGCCAGAGCCCATCAATCAGCACTATAACATTATTATTAAAATAAGGGGGAAAAGATCCTTTTCAGGACTGGCCTAAGGCAAAGTCAGGAACAGAATCTATCTTCAAAACCTGTCATTTTCTCTTTAATCAACCCTCCCCCCAAAGTTTCCAGCGCCTGCTCCTATAACCTAATTCTCTAGAAGCTGATTAGGGCCTTGGCCTCCTTGAAACAGTGTATTTGACAGACCTTGCTTTCCACTAATGATGAGAACCAATGAACAGGGTTTCCTGTATACGTAACACCAAGCCACGATTCTAATGATAGAACTTCAGGTACTGCAGTAACCTGCTCGGAAAGGAATTTTTGAGTGACGGGCCTTTTGGAGCCCATGTCACAAAAGCAGAACCCTGGTCCTAACTAATTTTACTGCTAAAGCATCTTAAAATCTACATACACTCAAACAATTCTATTTCATTTACATGCTATTGACATTGTATAATAATTTGTTATAACCAACTATGTGTAAATTCTAAGTGGCAAACATGATCCTTGTGAAAACACTAAAAATGTTAGGCTTGCGAGCCACACCAGTCCAACACAAAATTTTAATATTAAAAAATCTGTTTTATATCTATGCTTAAAAAAAAAAAAATCAAAATATCTCCCAAGTCTTTGGTCCCCTTGTCTATGAGAATAAATACATGGCTCACCTCTATCCCCATGTACTTTTCCGTCATAATTTTTTATTAGTTCTTCAATGAAAGTCCCATCCTGGTCTAAAACTTCATCCCCCATATAAGGAATATTATGTAAAACAGTTTCATCTTCCACCTAAAAATAAAAAAATAGATTTAAAAAGTAGCCTTATCCTAAGTATCAAATATTTTTTAAATTGATGTAATAACTAAAATACAATTGTTTTTCATAAGTAGATGTCTTTACCCACTTCTCCAAACCAAAAATAACAGACAGGAAAACTCTATAAGCTATAAAGAAATAAAAAAGACCTCGCCAATAAGCATAACAGAAGAATAAGGTTTAAGGAAAAATACTGTTTACCTAATCTAACATGTCATCAATCATTAAAATTTACCATTATTTTATGTACCTCCAAGAAAGGAAAAAAGGTGCAAATTACAATATGACCCATCATCAATCAATTTTAAAACATGTTCCTATTTCAGATGATTAAAAAAACTTAGAATTGATGAAATATGGTTCATCAAAATCAACTATAAATAGCCATATCTTAAAAAAAACTAGCATTAAGAGTTTCTAAATTTCACTTGAGACATTCAATATAATAAAATTCTAGGGATGTAAAATAGAGTATCGATAGTCAAAGTTATGCAGACAGATTTACTCTTATACATAAAAAAACATTCTACAATAACATATTTCAATATTGAGATGAGTAAGATGCATATCAAAATTGATAATGCTAATAAAGATGACAGATGAGTTTATATCAAGGTTTAGAAGACAACAGGGAACAAAGGGTACTAGCTTAGCTAGGAAAAGCCAATCAAAGAACAGTTCAGAGAGAATGTTAATACTTAAGAATATAAGGGACAAGAAGCTAACATTCATGGAAGTCTTTTTAATAAAGAATAAAAAAGACAGTAATTATAAAGACCAGAGGGCTCTGAAGTCCACATTAAGGACACTAATTTAAGTGAGGACAGGGCCTTTGAACAGGGAGGGTATTGGTAAAAAACAGAATTTTAGAAAGATAATTCTGACAAACAGAATGGACAGGCTAAGGCTGACAGGCGGACATGACAGCTATTATTTTAAAGTGTGAGGTGCCTTTAGGCTGGGAGCATGATGGATAGGAAGGAATACACAGGAAACGGCCATGACACACACACGGGACTGTCAAGGAGCAGGCAGGAAATACAAAGAAAAGGAAAATTTTCCCAATAATCCCTACATAACGAATTTAGGACAACTGCAGGGTTCATACCTTAAACAAACAGGAAATAAGGAAACTGGGAGAAAAGTACGTATGGGATATACAATGAATATTTAAATTTTAATGTATTGATCTATTCAGATTCAAGCTTATGTACAACTTAAGACTCTAGCTTCCCTCACATCTCACTTGCACTAATCCCATTTAAACCAGAAGAGTTAATTTTTTTGGATGCAAGCCAAAATTAAGTGACAATTGGCTATTTTGCCTTCCCAACTGTATCCAAATAACCTTTGCCCCCAAAACATATCCTAGCCATAAAGACAGTTTGCCTAATTTGCTTTGGTCAGTACCCAACAAAACCTATAGGTGATTCATAAATAGTATTTATTGACAACTTTAAACACTATTCTTTTAGAATTTATGTCTGTGAAAATATGAAACTTCCCTTAAGCTCCTGCAATATGATTCTCAAACTAAATGTTTTTGAATACAGCCTTAAACACACACGTTGCAGAAGAGTATCTGAAGTTTGCCTTTAACCCTCCACTATAAATCTTTAAAAGTTACTAAAGACATTAATAACATCTATTTTTTAAAAATAATCTAGTAAGAGGGCCAGCCGAGTGGCGCGATGGTTAAGAACTGGCTTGGGACACCAGAGGGCCCCGGTTCGGATCCCACATATGAGGGCCAGTGACACTGCCTCTACAGCTAAGATGCTGAACAATGGCTCAACCTTGAGCTGGGCTGCTGTGAGTCGCCGGTGACGGCGTAGGCTGCAGCTCCTGTGGCAGTAGGTTGCCATGGGCTACCGTATGTAGCCAGCAGCCAGCGTGAGTGGCCGTCCAGAAGCCAGCGACTGATCTGCCTCACCAGGGAAGAGCGCAATGATGGTGCCAACTTGGGCCAGTGAAGCAACCTCCTCCACAACTAGACTGAAGAACAAAAGGGCAGCAATTTGTGTGTTCCCCTTCTCCCAATTTCCCAGCACTGTTCCCATCCCCCCAATTCCCCAATAAAAATCTTTAAAAAAAAAAATAGTAAATTCTCTAAAGTAGGCTCACCAAAGACTTCCATTAACATTTTATATATCAAGTAATAAAGCTATTGGGTTGTCAGAAAAGTCATGACGCATTTTTGCAACAAAAAACATAGAAAAAATACGTCATGACTTTTCCGACAACCCAATATATATTTTTTTATTTAACACAAGTCAAGAATGCATACTCAAATCTCTCTTTTGTTCCATCCTCCTTCGTTCTACCTATAAAGAACTAAATACTAGCATTTCATTACAAAAGCTATTGGGCCAGTGTTATCTGTGGAAATATGCTTAAACTTGTGTTCTGTAAGGCCGAGAATATTTCATAGTGTACGCTATCATCCAACTAACATGCTGCCTCCAGTTGTTTTAAATAATAACTTCTCAATTAACAAACCCTTCAAGTCAGACTGAGATTATAGGATAATGACTGACCTCTTCAAGGGTAAGAACTATAAACTTCATCTTCTAAATGTTTTTAACCCCAGGTATGGTTTTTGCTTAACACTTTTCCTTTGAAGAATCTAACTAGAAAGGACTAGGAAAAGAGCAACACACTAAAGGCTTAAAATATACTGGGGGTGCCCAAAAAATGTATACACATGACTTGTATTCATCGTTTGTTATCGGTATATATTGAGTGTTACAATTTTAATACACTTTTTTCCTTTCTTAAAATGTGTATACATTTTTTTGGTACCCTCTGTACATAAAAACTGGTTTAAAAACATCATTCTAAGTGCGACCATTTTGAAAGCCTTTTTACTCATATACCTTGACGAGAAAATCATCTGTACTTTTTGATTGCAAATAACAAGCTGCATTATTTACATACCATGAAGTTCTGCTGTAGAGGAGACCAAGAGTACATTATGGGCACGGAAGCAACTGCACTCAGAGTCTTTAATGGGATGACTTGTGTTGGAAAATCCAACTCACTGGTCACCGAACACTAAAACAGAAAAAACCAAAATGACTCGTAAGAATAAGAACCTGAAGCTGTAGCCATTGTATTAAAGGGATGCTGCCTACCTACACAGTTTTAACAAGGAAATGTCTTTACCTAAGACAGTCAAGTTCATGAAAACCAAAAAGCATTCTCTCCTCTCTCTTTCACTTGGGGTGAAAAAAAATGCTTCAGACTTTTTAAGCCCTCCAACCCTCCCCATACTTACCAATAGCAGTAAGAATCAAAAATTGTATTTATGTTAGCCTCAGATTAACTGCTCCTTGCTTTCACTATACATTTCTTTTACTCTTCAACCACAAGAATAAAAACATAGATACTAAATATGCCACTTAAATCTTACTTAGTAAGAATACGGACACTAGTTACATTAACCCTTCTTTATCTTCCCTATCAGATGATACACAAACATTAAAGGGTAATAGATCTGAGTTTCAATCACAACAAAATGGACTCAAATCAATTTTGCAAAGTACAATCTCTAAACTTTCAGAACAGCTAATGTTATCAATCAAGCGCTTTCTCGTGCTAGGTAGGCACCATTTTACACACATTATGTCTGATCGTACGTAGTCCTCATTACAACACTGTAAGATGGGGACTATTTCTAGCCCACATCTTACAGGTGAGAAAACAAAGGTAAAGAAAGGATAAGCAACTGGCTCCAAGTCCTACATTAGACAAGGCTAGAATTTAAACCTAGAAAGCCTGACTCTGGGGCCCCTGCTCTTACCCACTACACACATTGCCATGATACCAAATTTCTATAATGTCTAAGTACATATATTGCCTTGAAATACCGTATTTCATCCAATCTATGATGACATCAATTTCAAGGCATACTATTATTTTCTCTATCACTAAGAAAATAATGTTGCCAGTTAAACTATAACATAATGATTTCTTATCATAGCGATTCTGAAATGCATGATGGTTCCAGATGTTTAAAATGTTAAAAAATTTGCATCTGTGATTGTATGAAATAGGGCAGAAATCTGTGCCCAAATAACCACAGCACTTTCCCTCCTGTCTAGGAATCCAGCTTTTCTTAAAAAGCTGGATTACCCAATTATCAGGTCTCCAGAGCCTTCCAAAAAACACCCTGGACATATTACTCATAATCTATAATCAATGAAAATAGAGCAAAAAGAAGAATTGAAGTGGTAAAATAAAGCAAAAAAATAATATGTACACACATAATTATTAAATGTTTAATTTTTATTTAAGAGGTCTTAAAAATAGCAGGACTAGATTTGGTGAAATCAGAGTGGAAATCTTTGGCACAGCGGCCGCACCTGGCGCCCAGCATTTATTTCATCAGGCCAGGGGCACTCCATCTCACAACAGTCACAGTCACTGCAGCACACAAAAAAGAGTTCCTTCCTCAGTGGAAGTGAAGGTTTAAAGATAGAGTAGTTAGAGAACTGTGACAGTTATTAATCCATTAATTTGCTTTCCAAAAGGGCAAAGATAATAATACTAGAAAGTTCACAGCTCAGGTAAATACAAAGGTGTGAACACTTTATTAATACTCCAGAGCCTGCAATCTTTCCTGGTTCCGCTCACTCTTTGGCCTCTGATAGAATTCTTCATCCATCCATCCAATAATCCAATAAGCAGTTAACATTTATTGAGCACGTACTATGTTGCAGGCACTGTGCTAAGTGCTTTATATACATTATCTTAACCACTCTCATCTTGGCCTTTGGCATTACAACTTCACAAATGAGGAGGACACTTAGGTTCAGAAAAGTTAATCACTTGCCTGGTCACAAAGCTGGGAAATTACCAAGCCCGGGTGGAAGCCTAAGTCTGACTCCAGCACCCAAGAGCTTCGTCACTGTGCGGCTAAGATGCTCAAAGGGTACAAGAACAATTACAGCCGTATAGTGGGTGCTACCTAAGCATCTTCCCCCCCGCTCCCCAACCTCTGGTATCCGCCTCCTATTCCTATCACTACCAAGTCATCTTTCCTTCTTCTTACTTAACCGGGTAACTTTTGAGGCAAGTATTACACCCTGTCCAGTAATTTCAAGTACAAAATACTTTTCATTTCTTGCAAAACAATCAGGAGTTTTTGACTTCTGTTTTACACTTGGTGGGACTAATTAACTCTGTGACTTTAATTCTGAAGATTAGCCCCCTTTCAAGCTTGGGGGGTTCGGGGAAGGGGTTGCCGCTCCAACTCTGACTTATTTGTCTGCTTTAACATCTAAATCCAAGGTCACACTTCAGGTTAGACAGCTGAATAATCCCTTCAACTACCAAGCAGGAGGGGCGCTGTCTTTGCTGCCATCTGTCGCATAGACAAGATGGCTCTGGGTCCACTGAATGAGGTCAGCTGATTTTTCCCGTGGACAGAAAGAACTTACAGAAGCACAGAAGATAAGATGCCAAAGGGTGTAGCACTAAGTACTACCTCCAACCCCATACTTCTGTCACATGTCACACTCCCATGACCCATCATCTCAATGCTGAGTCACAGGGAGTCGCCAAGCTCTCTGAGGGCAGAAGCAGCTGAGGCAGAGTGTATCTTTTCCTCTCTGTCTCACGATACTCAGCACAGTGTCTCAAAAAAGAGTAGGCACTCAAAAAATGTTTCCAGAATGAACAGATTGCATTTGCTGGTTCCCCCTAATGGAGACCGTGACTTCACCTCTCTCTGGAAAGCACGGAGAGCACCTCCTTAGGAAGCGAGGCCCACACCCGCCTCCGTGCCTACGCAGCCTCTCTAGGAGCCTAACCCATTCTTTAACTATTCACCTTGACTAATAACCATATTCCTTTCATTTATGAAATCATATTCAAATGCAAAAGCATTTGTTGGTAAAACAAGTTTGGGAATTCTTATTTATTGACTTAAAGGAAAATTACTCAAAAATCCCAGTTACTTACCAGTAACTTTCTTTTCTTTGAAAATGTATCATCCTTGACAGTTCATATAATTAAGTCTCATATCACTCAGAGTACTGAAAAGGAAGTTGACCTTATGAGTCTCCACAGCATTTTACCTGATCAGAGTCATGTGTCCTGGACTCAGGAATTCACTAGGAGACTTACGTAGATAAATTAAATTTCTAATTCTAGTTCCAAGTTGAAGACGTTAACATAGATGATTCATCATTGACAGCAAAGAAAGAAAAAACTACATTAGTTATCAAGGATGCTACATTTTCAGAGAAACACAGCTTACTGGTAAGTAACCAGGTTCCTCTGAGGATGGATAGACTTACATCAACCAGCTGGTACAATAGGCGACTGTGTGGCTGGACCACTGGGAGCTGGAGAGGGAAGTCAAGCCAAAAATAGTAGTTGTAGGAGTACACAACCAAACTGAGACTCTTGGCAGAAGGCTGGTTCCAAGTAAAAACTGTGTTATGGAAAATCGTAGAGGGAAGAGCAGGTGAATGGCCTGCAGGGAAGGGAAAGAAATTAACACACCCTACTATGTGCCAGGCACTGCGCTAGAGACTTTAGCAAAGTTAACTTCTTTAAAATTCACCACTACCCTATGAGGTCAGTATGACTCCCCATCTTACAGTGGGACATCCCAAAGGACAGCAGCCATAGCCTCCCAGTCTCTGAACAATCTTTAACATCAGAAGGGTTAAGTCCAACCTCCGTGTAATTGGGGGGAAAAAAAGTCAGTTAACCAAGTTAAAAATACTCTTGGATACTGGTTGGTCCATTTGATTCATGCCAGAGACAAAATGAACTGTTGATATTGTCTAATATCCTTTAGCTTTTCCAAGTAAAACAATAAGGAACCATCTTACATCTAAGGTATAGGAAAGAAAGGGTCAGGAGAAAGCATCAGCTGCCACCCAGCTCTATAGAAAAGCTAAGCATGATTTCTGAAACTACCTATATTTTTCAAGACCAGAGCAGAGAATAGATAACACACCCAAATTTTAAAGTAGCTAGCCTTTCTGGTGAAAATGATAGTGTATGGAACTTAATTTCAGACTGCTTTTTCATGAAGGAAGTACTGAAGAAAAAACTGTAATGAGATAACTATCCAGTCTGGATCAAGTTGACAGAAGCTCAGTGGTGAAAGAGAGTTCACAACCAGGGTTAGAAGGACAGTTAGGAGAAGGTGATTAAAGGAGATGAGTGTCTCCAGCAGGAGAAAGTCAGAAACAGAAGTGGAAAGAAAAAAAATCCTGATTAGATCTGGACAGAGATGTATTTAATAAAAGCAGCTAATAAAGGTTTTGGAGCCAAGGAATGAAAAAGGATGGTTCATTCCAGCTTGTAAATGATTTCCGTTTTGTTGTTAAACATTTATGTTGCAGAACCATCTGGACTGGGGGTGAACCTCTACCCGGCAACACAAGGCTCTTGCTCCCGAGCTCACTTCAGCACAACAGAAAGATGTCATCCTATAAGCGGCAGTTCTTACACTTCTCAGGACAAAATGTTAAAAGCCATATAGAGCATTTAACGTAGACTTTAGCAAAAACCTAGAGTACATAACGTTTGGAATACAACCTTAAAGCTCTTCCCTGCAACCTAGCTTCAGATGCCTGATTCTGAATGAGAAAGATCATATACCAGGGTGGGGGTGCCAAAAAAATGTACACACATGACTTGTGCTCATCTTTTGTTATCGGTATATACTATTACAATTTTAATACATCTTTTTTCCTTTCCTAAAATGTCTATACATTTTCTAGGCACTCTCTGTATATAAACCTAGTTAATATACTAACTATTAAAACACAACACACAGGGAAAACCCAGTGCAGCCTGGGTCTGAAGGGGGCTGTTAGGGTAAATCACCTCCTCATAACCTGCAGTTCTGCTAGAGACAGAAACAGAACAACAGTCACAGGACTTGTTAGTAAAACTACAAAAATCTCAACAAAGGACATGAAGCCGGTAACAGAGCTATGTTCGTCCATTACATGCAAATTTATGTACTTAATTCAAGAATAGTCCTGTGAGTGGAAAATAAGACCCATGCCTGTCATTGAAAAAAACAA